CAAGTAAAGACTTGTGAACTTGCCCTTTACAGGACGGAAAAATATATTAAAAACAGTATTCTAAGAATACAAACAGAAGAGTGTGAAAACTTCTTCCTTATGAATGAATCTTTTTCAAGATCACTCTTACAACCAAATCTAGATACTAAAAGAAAAATATTAAAAATTCTAGATTTCAAATAATGTACTCATAAAGAGTACGTACAACAGATCCTAGAAACACTCTAAAATTCTCGAGATAAATACTTCAGCTCTCTATTTTGTGTTCTCGAAATCTATATTAATCTTGAGTCTTGAGTTTGGTATTTATAGACTTGCCAAGCTTCCACTCTTCAGCCCATGATCTGCAAGAAAACCAACCACAAGAGCACTCAAGATAATGGGTTAGTGGGTTAGTTAGGAAGTTAAGATAAATTCCATAATTAAATCCACTAAGCACTACTTAACCCTACTTAGCCCACTAACTAAGATTTAGTTTAGAAGTTAAGAAATGTTAAAAACGCATAGTGAAATTAATTCACGTGTTTCATTCTTGATTACAACAAAAGAAAGATGATGACTTGATCTTGCTATACAGAAAATGACAAGGAAAAGAGTATAAATTAAACATCATATATAATTGATAGTAGATAATAAAATTCTTGAACAAAATAAATTATCGTAGACAAAATCGAAAAAATTGAAACCGATAACAAAAAAAAATGTCTCTCGAATCCTCCGAAACAAAACATTTGTCATTTCGCTCCATTCGCAAATCTTAATTAGCACACCAAAACAAGCAACAATCAAGACCACACAGATCTGAGGCTGCAATAAATAATTTAACTCAACAAATTTGTTATTAATTAATATTTCAGAAGAATAAATTAAGATACAATTTGTTTTAGTTTTCAAAATATAATGTGAAAAGACTTTATATATATAGGAAGTCAAGCTATGAGAGACATACAACCAGCACCAATAAGAAGTGACAAATTTGCCCCTAATTGTAATTTTCCATTACTTTGCATTTTCGGGCTCATAAAATCGGCAGAAAGAAGATCGACGAGCGCCATGTAGATCAATATTCCGGCCGATGCTGCGTTGAAAACACCTTGTACAATTAGAGCCGTTGAACTCGTTTCGCTGTAGATGTTTGTAATTCCGATTCCGATTCCGATTCCAACTGGGGTTGTTATGGAGAAGAATATTGTCATTATTGTTACTGCCCTTACTTTAAACCTTGCCTAAAAAAATAAAAAATAAAAAAATAAAATTAAAATGTAATTAGTAATAATTCATAGATTAATTAAATAATTAATTATGTATTAATAAAATTAATTAAATAAAAAAACCTGAGTAATGCAACCACCAAGACCAATGCCTTCAAAGAATTGATCTTGCTAGAGAACCGTTTGATCCCGAAATCGAACGTACTTTTCGAGCCGCTAGGAGACTTCAACGCGAAAACAATATAATGAAGGACGAAGAACGTAGGGCAGCGGGCAATTTACTCAGTGCCAACGGAAACCAAATCCAAGACCCACCCCCTCAACTCCCATTACAACCAGCAGCTGGACCACGGGCACTTCAGGACTACATAATCCCGACTCATGACGGATTCCGCCCGAGCATCCAATATCCACCCATTGAGGCGCACAATTTTGAGATCAAGCAAGGCCTCTTGACGATGCTCCAAAATAACGGACTATTTAGTGGATTGGCGGGTGAAGATCCCCATCTTCACATTGTCAATTTTCTAGATACCTGTAATTCCCACCGTCAGAACGGCGTTTCCCAAGAGGCGCTTCAATTAATTCTCTTCAAGCATTCCTTACAAGGAAGAGCTCGCCAGTGGTTGATGTCCCAAGCCCCCCACTCTATCTCGTCGTGGCCTCAACTCCTCAACCTTTTCATGAAAGTTTATAGCTCACCTGAGAAGGACGAGAGAATCCGACGAGAAATTCATAATTTCTTCCAAGAGCAAGGCGAGCAATTATACGAGGCATGGGAGAGATTTAAAACTCTTTTGCGGCAGTGTCCGACACATGGAGTCGAGCAATGGCGGCAAATCCACATCTTCTACCAAAGGATTAACGAGAATGCACGAACCGTCTTAGATGCATCAACTGGGGGCAACTTCATGAGTCAATCAATACCGGATGCATTTATTATTTTGGATCAAATTGCACACAATCGGTTTGCCAAGTCAAGCGGGAGGACGGTTAGTGGAGCCAAGAAAATTCCCGGAGTGTTGGAGTTAGATGCAATTACGGCCCTTCAAGCTCAAGTGACCCAAATTGCTCAACAAAATCAACTAGCTCCTTCTGCAGCACATCAAAGCAAGTCCACCACAACAAGTCCAAGCAATCGATTCTCCATGTTGTGAAATTTGCGGTGGAAATCATTACACACTCCAATGCCAACAAGATGTGGAGTCGCTCAACTACGTCAACAATGCGCCTCGCCAATTCCAAAATCAAGGGTGGAGATCACAAGGGCAATATGGAGGAAATCAACAAGGACAAGGATATCAAGTCAATTCCAAAATCAAGCCCCTCCTCAACAAAGCTATCAAGGCAACAATCCACCGGCCCAAAAATCAAACACGGATGAGATATTGGCCCAATTCATGACCGCTACCCAAGCCTCGCTGCGGAATTTGGAGAATCAATTCGCTCAATTCTTTGTGAATCAAGAGAAACGTCTGGCGGGAGCATTGCCATCGAATACGGAAGATCCTCGAAATCAAAAGTTTGAGACGTGCCAAGCTATCGATGTCAAGATCGAAAGAATGGAAGAAATTCAAGTCACTGTAGCTGAATGGGTGGAACCAATCCCATATCCACAACGATTGCTAACGAAAAAGATCGAGGTCGAGACGTGCCTAGCAGTCACCTTGAAGAACAGTAAGCAATTGGAGGAAGCCCCACGAAAAGAGAAGAGAAACACGGTAATCGAGAAGCCGAAAGTGAATGAGGAAAAAGAATCAACTCATGAAGAGCCACCATCAATGGTGCCTTCACAAGTCCCTCCAATTCCTTATCCTCAAAAGTTTATAAAGAAAAAGCTCGATGCCGAATATCAAAGATTTTTGGACAAGTTGAAGGAAATTCGCATAAATATTCCTTTCATTGAAACACTTCAAAAGATGCCAAAGTGGGTGAAGTTCCTCAAGGACCTCGTGAAGAAAAGTAAGAAATTGCAAGGGAACGAGATGATCCAACTCACGGAGCAAATTAGTGCAATTCTTACTCGGCCTCTTCCACAAAAACTCGGCGATCCAGGTAAGTTTACTATTCCTTGTACTATAGGAGGTAAAAATTTTAGATCGCTCATTGATAGGAGGTAAGTTTTATTAAGTGCATGAATTTGATCACCTTATGTGCTTTGATGTTATTGTTAATCGCATGAATCGGAAGATCGGGTTAATAATTAGAACTATGGTAGAAGAGCATTTGTGGTATTAACATAGGAATATAGTTAATCTCTTAGGTAGTCATTATTGAGATTTGTGCTTAATGTTTTGTTCTAGAATTAATTGCGTAGGAATACAGTAATTGAATCTAGAGTATTACAATCGTAATACACGCGGAAGCGGGTTATGATTAATTTAGCATCTCAGGTTAATAATCCGGGTTAATTATTTGCATAATTGAAGGAGTTAATATGAATGCAACTATTTTTTCATGGTTTTTTATTTTGTGCAAAATTATGTTAATATGAATGCAACTGTTTTTTCCCCGACATTGTTATGTGGTTATTAGCATATAGTCGATCGAACCTTTTGAAAATACAGAGTGGTTTTCACACATAATAGCCGATACCCATAATAGTCATGGTTTTCTCTGGGTTCGAAATTATGTTTATATGAATGCAGTTACGTAGCAAAATAACAGTGGTTTTCAATAAAATACAGAGTGATTTTCAGAATTTTCCCATTTATGGGTACAATTGTCCATTTACGTAGCAAAATTCAGTGGTTTTCAACAAAATACAGAGTGGTTTTCGTGTCAAGAAAATATAGAGTCTAATTATGCAGTACAATCGTCTCAATAGAATACATAGTGGTTTGCGTGTTTTTCCGCAAACCATGATAGTGCGTAATAGTCATGGGTTAAGCACTTTTCGAATTAATTTTAATATGAATGCACATGAGTTTTCTCCAACATTGTTATGTTGTTGTAGCATATATTCGATCGATACTTTAAACTGTCAGAGTGGTTTTGATATATTGCCGGATTAAAAAGTTACAAGTCCGTTTTAAAATTATTATCATTGTACGTGTCAGATTTATAATGTATGTTCTTAATCGTGGTAGTATTTTTTTCCCTTTTTAATAGCATGTTTTTTTTCTTCATAATTTACCATGTAATTATTTTGTGCAATTTCATGGATTCCAACGTGACATTTGTGTTAAGGTTTCGAGGGATTGTTGCAATAAAGCGATGGTCTGATTGCATGAATTTTGATTCATTGATAAATTATGTTTGGTCGAAGTGGGATGCGATCAATGGATGTAACTCACTTTAACTTATAAGTTTGACGTGTACGACGACTGCATCCTTGCGAGCGATGATGATTTGACATCAATGTTGTTCATCAAAGTTAACAGTAAAATTTCTTTAATAGTAGTACAGTCATAAAGCAATTATGAATACATAAAATCAAAGTTCATACTTACCTATGACGGAGTTTTTTAAACAAACGGCTTTAAGAAATATGTACAATAAAACCAATAGATCAAACGGAGACTTTTAAACAAACCCATCAAAAACGGGAAAATCAAACAATACATTAACTAACCACTATGACCATATGTCACACGTCTAAACGATATATAAAGTGTATGCTGAACAACTGCATGCCAAAAAAAAAATCCCAAAAGCAATATGCATAAAAAAAAAAAAAAAAAAAACCAAAATAATACCCATTTTCGCCCCCTGCGTCGACTGTATTCTTTATTTTTTCCCCATTCCAGTACCGTCTCGACGATCTCTTTTCTCATGTTTGGAATATCCTTCACGCCTTGTGCTTTTGTAATAATTTTATTTTCAAAATATTGCCTCACAATGTAGCACACAACGACCCCGCAGTCGACATTGTCACTCTTCTATTGCAGAGCATCATTCATTAAAACCACTTCTTCGTCATACGGGAGATCAAGTTTGTGATATCTCCCCGTCTTATCCACCGCGTCTTTCTGAAGAAAAAAAAAATAAACCACACAACATTTGTATCAACTGCACTTAATTCATAACCACATGACATTTTTATAAACAACATAATTGAAAACCCCATAATTAAATTAGGCACAAATCACAACAACATACTTGAAGACCCAAAAGAGATACAACACAGACCATTAAGTGCTTTCAAATAACAACACAAACAAAATAATTTGGTTATAATATGTGCATACTTTAGAGATATGTAATTCAGAACCACCTACAACTTTTTTTTTCGGTTTCACAAAGCCAGCACCCACATAACCTACTTAGCACAGTAACAATAATGAAAATCACTTAAGATAATACCATTGAACATAGTCAAGACATGTACATAATTAACACCTCGTAAACAAAACCACATACCTTTTGTGTGGTTTAAAAACCAATCCATAAAACCAGCGGAAAATTTAGCATGTAAAGATCATGAATGAAAACCACTTAAACAAGATCATAGTTGGCATATGTTCACAATTCAAATTCCCATAAACAATACTGCATATCTTTGAGTGGTTACAACGGAACCCAAAAAAACTAATTAAAATGATAACACGTTTACAAAAATCAAAAACCGTATTCACTTAAACATATTTTTTACACTGAAACAACAATTTACAAAACCAAACAAATTTACCTAAAAATACACAATTACATTTTTTTGGTTTTCACAAAAAAAAATGTTGAAAAACACATTACCTATGTAGCACATGAGCATAGGAAAAAACCACTTAATACAGAACCACCGAATATGTTCCCAACTCAAAACCGCTTAAACAAAACCACATATCTTTTGTGTGGTTTAAAAACCAACCCATAAAACCAGAGGAAAAATTAGCATGTAAAGATCGTAGATGAAAACCACTTAATTCACTATCACTGCATATCTTTGAGTGGTTAAAAGACTGCATATCTTTGAGTGGTTTTCAAATTCTCATAAACAAGACCGCACATCTTTGAGTGGTTACAATGGAACCCAAAAAAACTAATTAAAATGATAACACGTTTACAAAAATAAAAAACCACAGTCACTTAAAGATGTTTTTATATTGAAAAAACAATTTACAAAAACAACCAAGTTTATCTAAAAAAAATACATATTTACAAATTTTTTGGGTTTCACAAAAAAAAAAGGTCAAAAACCACACTACCTATGTAGCACATAAACATAGGAAAAAACCACTTAATTCACCCCTGAATATGTCCCCAACTCAAAACCGCTTAAACAAATGAACGTATATCTTTTGGTCGTTACAAGAGAACCCAAGAAAAACCACACTAAAACTTAATTCATTAAACAGACACATACCAGGATATGCAAACCATAAGATATAAAATGCAAAAAAACACGCAAAACCGAACTTTCTGGTATGCGGTTTTACTTATTGTCATATACAACACAAAACATCTAATCAACAGACAGCTACTTCCAACATTTTTTGGAACCCAAAAAGTTGTTTCCAAATTAAGCATGCAATTCGTAACTATAATCGGACAAACACCCATCACAACAAACAACAAAAAATCAACGCATTTTTCACCATTTACGGATTTAGAAACTCACCAGCATCTAACTGCATAATGTCGGGACCGGTTTTGGATTTCCTCTTCCCTGTAAAAAATTACCCATTACGGTAAGCACATGCACAAAACAATAAGAACACCCATTTCAATTAATTGTGGTTTTCCACTAATTGAAGGGAATCAACATCTGGAGACACCGATTAATTACTTTTCGCTGCTGATTTATGTATCATCTTGTCGTTGTACAAAATACGACGAAATTTTGCTTCCTCTAGCGGTTTTCGCTCTGATTTCATAATAAATCACGAACATCTTCTACCGTGCTTTGGGGCATTTCGGAAAACGAGGGATAATTGGCTTAGTCGGAGTGGTTTTTTCTACCGTGATTTGGGGGAAGAGATATTTGGGCGAATTATACGATAACGTGATTTTGGGAGGGATTTGGAATTGATTTATTTTTCGTTGGGATTTGGTATTAATTTACCGTAATATTTAGTTTAATAATTATATTAATAACTGGGGGCATATATGAGTTTTCAAGCCCATTGGATTTATCTCAAATACCATTAATAAATGGGCAAATGACAAATAGGCCCATGACAAGGGCACTTAATTAAAAGAGGGACTTCCAACTTTTTTGTCTTTCAAATAAATCCATCTCATTCAAACTTATTTGCAAATGAGGAAAATCCTTTTTAAATACCAAAATTACCCTTAATTCATTGAAACCCAATTTAATTCCAATTTCGTGATTTACACCACAATTTAGCCCAATTTCATCAATTAACCAATTTTAACCATAATTTCAATTTTGACCCCAATTTTGACCCGCCACCACCGGAGACCACCGACCGCCGCCGTGAACCGGCGGTGTTGACCGCCGGAGACCGGCATTGACTTTTTTTTTTTTTTGAAAAAACTTCTTTTCCCAATTACTGTATCCGGCAGTTATTTAACTGTCGGAGACAGTAATTTAACTGTAAATTGACTTTTTTTTTTCTTCAAAAATATTTTAATTAATATTACTGCTTTGTTACTAAATTACTGTCTCCAGCAGTTATTTAACTGTTGGAGATAGTAATTTACCTGTTAATTGAATTTTTTTAAAAATATTTTAATTAATATTACTGTATTCGTTGTTAAATTACTGTCTCCGGCAATTATTTAACTGTCGGAGACAGTAATTTAACTGTTAATTGACTTTTTTATTCTTAAAAAAAGTATTCTTAATTAATATTACTGTATTTGTTGCTAAATTACTGTCTCCAGCAGTTATTTAACCGTCGGAGACAGTAATTTAACTGTTAATTGACTTTTTTTTTCTCAACAAAAAATATTTTAATTAATATTATTGCATTGGCTGTTAAATTACTGTCTCCAACAGTAATTTAACCGTCTTAGACAATAATATTATTATTCGGAAAAATAATATTCATAATATTGCAGTCTCAAACAGTAATATTACTGTCTGAGTCAGTAATTTAGTAGTCAAGACAGTAATATTAATTAAAAATATTTTTTTCTAAGAAAAAAAAAATCAACGCCGGAGACCGGTGGTTGACCGGCTGGAAAATAATTTCAGGAAAAACAAATTAAAAAAAATATATTAAGTCAACGCCGGAGACCGGCGGTCAACACCGGAATTTTTCCGGAAAAAATTTATTTTCTGAAAAAAAAAAAAATGGGAGTTAATGTGATATTTTTGTTTAAATCCGGGGTCAATGTGTAATATTAAGGAAGCTAGAGCATAATGGATGAACTTGATAAGAATTATATTATGGAGGGTATTTTTGACTAAAGACATGGGATGGGTTTAATTGAGAGACTGTTTTTTTTGTGGACCAAAATGTATTTAAGTCTCATGTGTGGGCATTTTTGTCATTCACCCTTAATAAATTAAGGATTTATCAAGAATAAAAAATCCAATGAAGAATTTATCAAGAATAAAAAACCCAATAAGAGTGTTTGGCTTATTGCCCCAATAATAAAAGAAAACCAAATCTAATTATAAAATAAATGAAATGTTACGCCAGAAGTATATTCAAGCTAATACAATTCCCATTGTATGTCGACATTTTTTGATTTAATTTATTATTGAAAAACACAAAATACACTAAATAAATACTAATAATAATACACAATTTAATTTATAAATTAATTTAAAAGTCCACAGTGTTGACATTCTTCAACACCACTGTAACACTGCAATTATATATAAATACTGACTACGTGAAACCCTAATTAATTCTTCATTCAGATCACACAAAAAACAAATTATTAAACCTATACAAAAAAAAGTTTATAAATCTGAGATGAAGAATCTGTTCATCTGGGCCGCCGCCGTGGTTCTTCTCCCGGCGGCGGTGCTCGCCGACTGCACGTGCGAGGCGGAGGAGGATGGCGACCGGAGCAGGAGCCTGGCCCTCAAGTACAAGTTGGCTGCCATCGCCGCTATTCTGGTGGCGAGCGCCGTCGGGGTGTCTCTTCCGGTGGTCGGGAGGAGGGTTCCGGCGCTGAGTCCGGAGAGGAATTTCTTCTTCGTGATAAAAGCCTTCGCCGCCGGCGTGATTCTGTCGACGGGGTTCATACACGTGTTGCCGGATGCTTTCGAGAGTTTGACGTCGCCGTGTATTCCGGCGAGCCCGTGGGGGGATTTTCCGTTCACCGGATTTATCGCCATGGTCTCCGCTATTGGGACTCTGATGGTTGACACGTACGCCACCTCGTACTACCGGCGCCGGTCGAAGGACAAGGCGGCGGAGGGAGTCGGCGGCGCCGGAGAAGGGATTCTTCCTGTTCACACCCACGCCACTCACGGCCATGCACATGGGTCGGTTTCAATGGAAGCGGATTCCGGCGAAAGTGACGTGCTTCGCCACCGTGTGATTTCACAGGTGTATATAATTTCTTTTCGAATATTGTTAATTTAATTTGGAATTCCAACAATTTAATTATACATATTAAACTCTTTAAATTAATTATTATTATATCACTAAAATATGATAATTTAATTTATAAAATACTAACAAATTATTTGGAGTTGAGATTTTTTTAATTTTTTTTTTCATAATTGGGTAGATTGATTAATTAAATGATACAAATTCGATGTGTTGAATAATTAAATAAATTTGATATTATATAATCTACAAAATTGATTAAATATTATATTATTAAATTTTATTTACTTTTTCAAATGTTTTTTCAGGTGTTGGAATTGGGAATCATAGTACATTCTGTAATAATTGGAATTGCATTAGGAGCTTCACAAAGTCCAAAAACAATAAGACCACTAATTGCAGCTTTGTCCTTCCATCAATTCTTTGAAGGCATTGGTCTTGGTGGCTGCATTACTCAGGTTTTTTTATTTAATTTATTTTATTAATACTAATTAATTTATCTATTAATTAGCAATAATTACATTTTTACCCTTGTTACAGGCAAGGTTTAAAGCAAGGGCAGTAACAATAATGGCAATATTCTTCTCCATAACAACCCCAACCGGAATAGCAATCGGAATCGGAATAACAAACATCTACAGCGAAACGAGCCCAACGGCTCTGATTGTACAAGGAGTTTTCAATGCAGCATCGGCCGGAATATTGATTTACATGGCGCTTGTCGATCTTCTTTCTGCCGATTTTATGAGCCCGAAAATGCAAAGTAATGGAAAACTACAATTAGGGGCAAATTTGTCACTTCTTATTGGTGCTGGTTGTATGTCTCTCATAGCCAAGTGGGCTTGACATGCATGCCCTATAATTGTCTTTTCACATTATTTCAGAAATCAATTTTTTTTTTCTTTTGATATATTAATTTAATAAAATTTTACTAAGTTAAATTTGTTGCAAGCTCAGAATTTAATGTTGTGGTCTTGATTATTGTTTGGTTAGTGTGTGACATGTGCATATATTATAATTTATATACTATATTGCATGTAATTGCAAATAACAATTAACATTTCTTGTTAAAATGATCAAGAAATAGGAAATTATAATTATAATTTTTTTCTTAATAAACTTGCTAATTAACTCTTATATATACAAGCTTAGCCAAAGTCAAAAAAATCACACCAAACCAAACAACAAAAATCAAGATTAAAAAAAAAAAAAAAAAAAAAAAAAGACAATGAATATGTTTACTACATTCTCCCATGTATTCATCCTCGTATCGATCATCTTCATATCATCAACAACATGCACTAAAATCACCGACGAAGAGATAAAACAACTATGCTCGAAAACAAGCAATCTTAACCGTTGCTACAAGCTCTTAAAATCCGACCATCGGATTACAAACGTAGACGCAAAAGGCCTTGCTGAAATTTCGATCGACTTAGCTTCTAAAAATGCGAATGAAATCCATTCCATGCTCGACGCTTTGGCTAAGGGTACGCGTAGTTCTCAATTAAGAGAAATGTACAACCATTGCGCGAAGAATTATGACAATATTATTCGCGACCTCGAAGAGGCTAAGAAAAACCCTAATATGGGAGCTGCACAGGTGGCGGTCGCATCGGAGGAGATTAAAAGCTGTAAGATAGTGTTTGCTGTGGATCATTCACACGTGAGCAAGAAAAGCGAGGATTTCAGTTTCGTTCTTAGCGTGGTTAGGGTTACGGTAGATAACTTGGACTAGAAGTAATTAGACTCCGTGTTTTGGCTATAGCGAAAAAGTCGTGATCCGTTTTCGATCATGCATGTAATCGAATAAGTCTAGCTAGATAGCTACTTTTATGTTAAAATAATCGAGTGAATTGCGAAAATCCGCTATTTGTGATATTTGGAATAAGTATATTTATATATATATTTTGTGGATTTAATTAGCCAGTTATATCAAATTGGTAAAACAGTCCTCGTGTTATAAATATTTGTCGAAATCCCCATATAATGCATTTTTTTTAGTACATAACCCCCATAAATGGTGAGTTTTTAGGGGGTTGTTTTCTAAAAAGTTGTATCATATGGGGATTTTTTTACTAATAAACAAGATTCGTCGTCTTCTTGATCCCCTTTCGATTCCGAATATGAGTGTGTGATTTGGTCCGTGGGGCTCTTCCTCGCGTCCTCTAAGCTCTCTGTCGGATTCCGGTAGAAAAAAGACCTGCAACGCCGGGAGGTGTTCCCGGCGGGAAAGCTCCGACGATCAAGTCAGTATGATTTCAAAGCGAGTTTTTAGAAAGTACGTAAAAGTATGTGAAAAAATGTATATTATCTGTGTGGAAAAACGCAATATCATTCCCTATTTATAAATGAGGAAACCTTGGCCTCCAAGGTTTCCTTTTTAGGGTTTTTCCCCCCTCAAGCCATTGTGTGTATTGGGCCTTTTACAACCCTGGGCTCGATTTACCACGAGCCGATACTGGGCCTGCGAGCCGAAGTTCCGCAGTTCGTCGTTGAGGTCGTACGACCTAATGGTCTTTTTATATCATTGGGCTGAATTGCCATGGGCCTTTTGTCGTGGGCCTAATTCGTATTGGATCTTTCCAGAATGGCCCGTATCAACTACTCCCCCCTACTCCTTAATTATCGGGCGAGATAAAACTTCTGTTTTGTCCCGTTCGATGAATATGGAGTATGGAGTGCGAGGTAACAGTTCGTTTTTAGCGTTTAATCTTTGATGGGGAAGCGTGCTCTACCGCCTTCTGCTGTCCTATCAATCAATGCAGTCGATTCGAGTTCCCTAGGTCATAATGAGGGAATTTCAATCGGTGCTTTCCGCGCCGAATTCGAGGCGGCCTGCTTTTGATCTCGTTCGTCCGAATGAGTGGTTGAGATCTAATTTCCTCTTATCTCTTTCCCTATAAATACCTCATTAACCCAACTTGTAAAAGTTTTTTCTTTTTGCCTACACGTCTCTCCTCCTGCTTGATTTCTGGTGATTCCATTTTCTGAGACAGAGCTTTCCTCCCTCAAGTCCACTCTTTCTCTCTAGCCAAGGTATTACTTCTCTTCCCCATCTTTTATTACCTCCATCTTATTCTTCAATTCGATAATGTCAGCCCATTCCCCTGACCCTTTTGGCCAAAAAGCGCCTTCCGGGGAGGGGGGTGAAAACCCTGCTTTTTCTATCTCTTCTTCGTCGGAGGAGGGGCCTTACTTCTCCCCTTCGGGTAAACTCTTGGAACGACCCAAGAAGAAGGGCAAGAAAGAGGTTTCTTCTTCTGCGAGGGGTGGTTCGCCCTCCGTATCTGAGGGGAGGGATTTAGATGACCAATGGGGGCCCAGTACCTTGACCGACATAGATCTGGCTAACTTAGTCCGCGACATAGGCCTCTCCACCGATGTCGAGTTGATTCTTCCTTCGCGAGATGACCGTCCTTTAACTCCCCCCTTAGGTTTCAGTACTTGGTTTTCAGAGCAGTTTTATTTCGGTCTATCCTTCCCTATCTCGCCTTGGTTTTCTGAAATTGCCCAATTATGTAACGTGTCCCTTAACCAATTCCACCCCCATGCCATAATAATTATGACCGGATTCCGCATGCTGTGCGCCTGGTCGGGGGTGATTCCTACACCAGCCCGCTTCCGGAGTGTGATGGTGTTAAAGAATTCGAGTCCTTTCCATGTCTCTATCTCGGCTCGACCGGGTTTTAAGATTCTGATGCCGCCTAATAAAACCGATGGGTGGCAAGGTCATTATTTCTTTGCCAGAAATCCTGTCGACACGCCCTATTTGTGTCCTTGGCTCGCCACCCTGCCTGAAAAGAAAAGGGGGAAACCTTTGGCGGTTGACGATTGTTTGTTAAAAATGATATCCCACTTTCAACCGAGCCACGGCGTCCCGGATAGCCTCACCAGCTTTCCGCCAATGCTTCGCCACTTTCGTTTTCACGACAACGGCACGTATTCTCTAACTCGGGAAGATTTAGGTGGGTTTGGTTATAACACTGATTTTTACCTCGACTCGTTATCTTACTTCGGTCGGTTTGTTTTTTGTTGTTTCGCTAGTTATGTACCTGTATGTCTTGTATCTCACCCACGTATCTCCCTTGCCCGTTTGTTTTGGTGCGTAGATCTAAGAATGAAGAGGATGTTCCGAGGTGACAAGCCGGCTACCCGTCCCTCCGATCCGGAGCCTGGGTTCGAGGCGTCTGAATTTCAGCGCCCTCTAATCGCTGAATCCGAGAAAAGACCCTCGGAGGAAGGGGCTCTAAGGCCCAGGCCATCGAAGAAAAACACCGCTCCTCCTCGCGCCCGTGGTGGACCTGCTTCGCGAACTGAGGACTCTGAACCTCCTAAACAATCCTCCGCGATAGTTCTCGCCCCGTCACCGCCTCCTTCTTCGACCGAAGAGGTGGTAGAGAAAGAACCTGCTCCGAAGAAACGGAGGTCTGAACTGGCCCTTGGGGCGGCTGGGTCATCTTTACCGGCCGACTTTGGACTGTACCTCTGCCGGAATGCTGAAAACGCTATTGCTGCGTGCCGGTCCTTGGCATTCCCCACCGATGTCGCCCACTTCGGGCAAATGAGTAAGGGCGACCGACTTGAGTTGCTTCTTCATAACATTACACAGGTTTGTTTCACGCTGTTCTTGTGAATTGGTTTTTGCCATAGCATCTTGTATTTAAGATTAACTCCATTTAACCTCTTTGTGAGTGCAGCAATTCGCCATCGCCTTCTCGGGTCCCCTGGGGTGGGATGATGTTTCACGCGAGGCGTATGATAATCAGAGGAAAGAGGTGATGCAGCTCCGGAAGGAAGTCCGGGGCTTGAAGGAGAGTTTGGGAGTGTCGGAGTCCTCGAAGGAGGGGCTATTTGCCGAAGTGAAGAGGCTGAAAGAGAGAGAGAAAATCCTCGAGGCTGAAAAAGACTCCCTTGTATCCCATAATGCCAGTTTGGAGGAGAAAGCTAAGGGGCTTTCCAACGAGCTGTTCGCGGCTGGAGTACAGGCCTCCACCAATTTCACCGAAGGGGTGAAAGAGGGGCAAAGGTTGTTCCCGGGGTCGCCTGAGGGCCTTCGCTTCATCGAGGAGTTTGTTCGCCGCTTCTTTCACCGATTGTGGCGTTCCACCACGTTTACTCGAGAAGCTTCAGGCTTAGCTCGTTTCTTCTTTTCGTCGGCGGTTGCGGCTGTTCGGAAGAGATTAGGCGGTGCCGGCATCGAGTTCCCGTTGGTGGAAAATGAACTGGCAGAGGACCTCCCCGACGACGTGATCCCGGGTTTTGAGGGGGATGTAAACGAGGATCCCAACTTAGAGTGGTGGAGGCCGGTTTATCAAGGCCTCGTTGAAGAATTCTCCCGGCAAGGGGCTATCACCGACTTCGCCGGAGACATCGGAGCCCTTGGGACGGTGGTTAGTTCCGAAGAGGCACAACCAAGCCTCGTTTCGCCGCCCCCTCCGGATGCTGAGAATCGGAGTGAAGCAGTTCCGAAATGAAGACCAAAAAGACTTAACCATTTATTATGTTTTGTACTTGGAATATGTATTTCTTGAATATTATTCCCTTTATTTCCTTTTGTCATGTACCCTTAACAATTTCTCCGTTTTTCCATATGTTTGAAACGTCTTTATTCGCTTTTATGTCTTTGTTGTTTTGGCTTCAGACTTAGTCCGTCAATATCCTTACTATTCCTATATTTTAACTTAGCACCCACTCATAATATTTTGCTTATGAAAACGCGAGTTAACGTCACCACGAAACACGCGAGTTAACGCCACAATGATACACGCGAGTTAACGCCACAGTAAAACACGCGAGTTAACGCCACAATGAAACACGCGAGTTAACGCCACAGTAAAACACGCGAGTTAACGCCACAGTAAAACACGCGAGTTAACGCCACAATGAAACACGCGAGTTAACGCCACAATGAAACACGCGAGTTAACGCCACAGTAAAACACGCGAGTTAACGCCACAATGATACACGCGAGTTAACGCCACAATGATACACGCGAGTTAACGCCACAATGAAACACGCGAGTTAACGCCACAATGAAACACGCGAGTTAACGCCACAGTAAAACACGCGAGTTAACGCCACAGTAAAACACGCGAGTTAACGCCACAATGAAACACGCGAGTTAACGCCACAGTAAAACACGCGAGTTAACGCCACAATGAAACACGCGAGTTAACGCCACAATGATACACGCGAGTTAACGCCACAATGAAACACGCGAGTTAACGCCACAATGAAACACGCGAGTTAACGCCACAGTAAAACACGCGAGTTAACGCCACAGTAAAACACGCGAGTTAACGCCACAATGAAACACGCGAGTTAACGCCACAGTAAAACACGCGAGTTAACGCCACAATGAAACACGCGAGTTAACGCCACAATGAAACACGCGAGTTAACGCCACAATGAAACACGCGAGTTAACGCCACAGTTATAACTTAAGTAAATAACACAAGTACTTTTTTAACGTGGAAACCCTCCAAATAAGGAGAGAAAAAACCACGGGGCCTAGCCCAGGTCGGAAAATGGATGTTTATTAATGGTTTTTTGTGCGTACAAGGTGTGTCTCGATTTCACTGACTATCTGTCCTCCTTCTCTCTCCCCCCTTTTTTTTTTTTTTTTTTTTTTTTTTTTTTTTTTTTTTTTTTTTTTTTTTTTTTTTTTTTTTTTTTTTTTTACGCGAAGAAGCGTTTTAAATGGATGACATTCCATGCCCGTGGCAGTGGTTTCCCTTCTACGTCTGCTAGCTCATACCCTCCACCAGCCAAACATTTTGTGACCATGTATGGTCCTTCCCAATTAGCCTCTAACTTTCCTGTATGTTTTAGTGCGTCAGCTCGGCGCAAGACCAGGTCGCCGATCTGGAATGAACGAGGCCATACCCCTTGATCGTATCGTGCTTTAATCAGGTTCTTACTTCGCTCCATGTGTAGATACGCCGCTTCTCGCAGGTCAAAGACCTCGTCCAGCTGTGTTCTCAAGGCGTCATCGTTTGTTTTTTCATCAAATGTGGCGATGCGAAGTGTGTCCATTGCCACCTCAACCGGAATAACAGCGTCGGTTCCATAGGTTAATCGAAATGGTGTCTCGCCGGTAGCTGCTTTGGCCGATGTCCGGTAAGACCATAGGACCGAGGGCAGCTCGTCGACCCAGCTTCCTCCTAGCTCATCCAGTCTTTTCTTCAAACCATTGACAATGGTCCGGTTTGTGGATTCCACTTGGCCATTAGCCTGGGGGTGTGCTACCGCCACAAATTTCTGTGTTATCTTCATCTCTTCGCACCATGCGCGGATCTTTTTGCCGTTGAACTGAGTGCCATTGTCTGACACAATACTGCGAGGTAGGCCAAACCGGCAGCATATATACTTCCAAATGAAGTGCATTACCTCATCTTCTGTTATTTTAGACAAAGCCTCAGCTTCAACCCACTTGGTGAAATAGTCCACCGCAACAATAAGAAATTTCTTCCTACCGGTGGTTTGAGGAAAAGGTCCCACCAGATCAATTCCCCATTGGGCGAAAGGGCATGGAGCGCTCATAATAGTCATTTCTTCTCCTGGTTTATGGATTAGTGGGGCAAATTTCTGACATTGCGCGCAATGTTGTACATATTGATGGGTGTCTCTCTTCATGCCGGGCCAATAATACCCAGCCCGATGTAATTTTTGCATGAGGGCCCGAGCTCCTCCATGCTCCCCACAACCTCCTCGGTGTACTTCGTCTAGGACACATTTCGCTTCTTGTTTTCCTAGGCACCTTGCATCCACCGTGGTGAAGGTCCTTTTATACAATACCTCGTGTCGCACATAAAAGTGCCTTGCTTTATATGCCAAACGATGCTGTTCCCTCTTCGTGCCAAAACGTTCTCCTCTAAAATATCTGAACAAAGGTGTTCTCCAGTCAGATTCTTCCTCGATTATCATGAGCCCTTGCATCGGGGTAGGGGCGATGAGGATGGTAATTTTTCGCTCGACACAGTCAATAACTGATGACCCAATTTTAGCGAGGAAATCGGCTCGTTGGTTGTCGTTCCTCGGAAGTTGATGCACCGTGCAGGTTTCGAAAGTTTCTTGTACTGCTCGAGCTTTATTCACATATCCCTTCATTCTATCATTTTTTACTTCATAATCTCCCTCTAGTTGGTGTATCACCAATTGTGAATCAGAGTATATTCGCACCACTCGTGCTCCGAGTTCCTGGGCAATCTCCATTCCTCGGATGAAAGCTTCGTACTCTGCCTCGTTGTTAGAAACTCGAGGCAGTTTGACGGCGAACTCAACCTCCGTTCCGGTGGGATCAATGACTATTATTCCTGCCCCTGCTCCGGTTGTTGTTGACGACCCGTCTACGTAAATTTTCCACTCTTTTTCGATTGGTATCCTGGCAGTTTCCCGGATGAAATCTGCCAAGGCTTGCCCTTTAACCGAGGTACGAGGTTGATACTGAATCTCGTATTGTCCTAGTTCGATGGCCCATTTGACAATTCGTCCTGACGCAGTAGGTTGACCTAAGGTTTGCCGAAGTGGTAGACTTGTGCGGATCACCATGGTATGCGACAGGAAGTAAGGCCGGAGTCGTCGCGTGGTGAGGACCAGAGCATACGCTATTTTCTCGACTTCAGAATATTTACTTTCCGATGTAGTAAGGATTTTGCTAATATAGTAGATTGGCTTTTGTTGATTATTCACTTCCTTGAACAGAACCGAACTGATTGATTCATCGCCTACTGACAGGTATACGAACAGAGTTTCCCCATTTTCCGGAATGCTGAGGATCGGTAAACAAGTGAGGGATCGCTTTAGCGCGTCGAATGCGAGCTGGCACTCGGTAGTCCATTCGAATTGGGCCGTTTTTCTTAATATTTTAAAGAAAGGTAAACTCTTGTCAGCCATACGCGATATAAATCGAGCTAGGGCTACTACCTTCCCTGCTAAGGATTGGACCTCCTTGATGGAGCGAGGGGGTGTCATTTGGAGTACGGCCTTAACCTTATCCTGGTTCACTTTGATACCTTCCCGGTTAACAATATACCCCAAGAACTTTCCAGCTTGTACTGCAAATGCGCATTTCGCGGGGTTGAGCTTCATTCCATATAGACGAAGAGTGGCAAACGTTTCAGCTAGATCTGCGAGGTGCGTGGAACGCTGCTTGCTTTTAACTAGCATGTCATCCACGTAGACTTCGATGTTGCGTCCGAGCTGAGCCCGAAACATTCTATCCATTAATCGCTGATATGTGGCCCCTGCATTCTTCAAACCAAAAGGCATCACCACGTAACAATAAGTACCCGTGGCTGTGACAAAACTTACTGCTGGCTGATCCTTCTCGTCCAACGGGATCTGATGGTATCCTTGCGAAGCATCCATCATGCTAAGTAGCTCGCACCCGGCAGTGGCATCTACAAGCTGATCTATGCGAGGTAAGGGGTAATCGTCTTTAGGGCAGGCCTTGTTTAAGTCCCTAAAATCGATGCACATTCGCCACTGGCCGTTGGCTTTCTGTACCAAAACCGCGTTGGACAACCATGTGGGGAATTGAATTTCCCTGATATGTCCGATGTCCAAAAGTCGTTGAACCTCTTTTTGTATGATTTCATCCTTCTCAGTACCGAAGTGTCGTCGTTTTTGTTTGACGGGTCTACACTCAGGTCGCAAATTGAGCCTGTGCACGACAGCGCGAGGCGAGATACCGGTTAAATCACTTGATTGCCATGCGAAGATGTCCTCATTAGATCGCAACAACGCTATCAGCTCATCTCGGAGAAGCGGTTCTAAGTCCTTGCTTATCCGAGTCTGCTTCATCATGCCAGGGACGAGGTCAACCATCATCAATTCGTCCATAGGCTGTACATGGTTAACCTTATCCTCAGGGTCAATTCGAGGGCGTTTCTCGTCTCCCAAATCTTCTTTGGTGAGGGTATCACGTCGGCCTTTCTCTGCTACTTTAACCATTTCGACATAACACGATCTCGATTGGGCTTGGTCGCCCCTGACCTCTCCCACCGTTCCATCAACTGGAAACTTAAGCTTTTGATGAATGGTTGAAGGGACCGCCCGAAAGGTATGTAACATCGGTCGCCCTATCACGATATTATACGAGGTTGGCGATCCTTCGACAATGACGAAATTGACGGTTTGAGTGCGTACTCGAGGTGGCGTCCCTATAGTGACGGGGATTTTAACTTGTCCAACCGGCGTCAGGGATCCTCCCGTGAACCCGAATATCGGAGTAGTGACAGGGAAGATTGGGAGGTCAAGCTCCATTTGCAGGAAACATTCGTAGGATATAACATCCACCGAACTTCCTGGATCAACGAAGGCGCGAGCGACATCGTACCCCCCAACGTTAATCGTGATGAGGAGAGGGTCACAATGGAAATCCTCTAGGTCCGCTTCATCTTCCGGACCAAACGAGATAGTGGGATATTGACGATACTTCGGTGTCGAGATTTGGCAAACCTCATGATTATTTTTGAGGCTACCGAGGTGGCGTCTCCTAGCCCGGTGAGTATCTCCTCCCGTAGGACCCCCCGAAATCATCTGAATGTACCCTCTTTTCGGTGCTGGTGGTGGTGGCGGTGCTCGTGGCGGGTTCCCAAACTGGGCTTCACGCTTTTGTCCCCGAGGTGAATCTATCTTCACAAAATCCCCGATTTTGTTATCTCTAATGAGACGTTCCACTTCGTCCTTCAGATGTGCGCAATCGTCGGTCGTATGTCCATATTCATTATGGAAACGGCAAAAAGTACCCAACGTTGGATCTCGACGGGGGGCTCCGCGAGCAGTTCGAGGCCATCGTAGATCAGCCCTCTTCTCAATCGCGCACAACACCTGGGACAGAGGAGCCGTAAGGGGCTGATATGATTGAAAACGAGATCCCTTAGCATCCGGGACAATACTCCGACTAGGGGCATTGGCATCCCTGCGAGGTAACATGAGCTCCCTGCCTTTCTTTACTTCGCTGACTCGTGCATTTGCGACTTGGTGAGATTCTTCCATTTTCTGTTGGCGGGCCTCTTCTAAATTGATGAACCTAGATGCCCTTTCTAATAGGTTATCGAAATCAGGGGACGGCTCCAGCGCCAAAGCTCGGAAAAACTCATCATCTCTCAGTCCTTGAGAAAGAGCTGCCATGAGTACCTCATCACTGGTGGTCGGGACTTCCAGGGTGGCCGAGGTGAACCGTTTGATGTAACTCCTGAGGCTTTCTTTCTCCTTTTGGCGAATGCTAAATAGTGACAGGGAGGTTTTTTTGCACTTCTTTGAGCTGGCGAACTGGTTCATGAAAGCCTTGGCAAATTGCTCGAAAGATTGTACGCTCCCGGAAGGCAGCAAACCGAACCAGGCCTGAGCAGATCCGGCTAGAGTGGTAGCGAAGGCACGACATCTCACCCCTTCTGTGAGCTGATGAAGCGATGCTGTATTGTTGAAACGGCTTAGGTGCTCGGCGGGATCCGATGTGCCATTGTACTCGAACGAAATGGGTCGGTAGCTAGCTGGTATGGGGTCATCATCAAGGTGTTTTGCGAAAGGGCTAGATCCCACGAGATCTCGCGCTGGCCTGTTCCGTAAGGCCTTTAATTCATTCATATCGCGTCTCAGGCTGTCTACCTCGGTCCTGACTCTATGACTATCGCCTCTTCGATTTTCCGAATAACTGTCGCCTTCGTCATCAGCTCGTCCCTCGTTCGGGGAATGTCTGGGATCCCTCCTGAGTCGGTTATCGTGAGGTAAACTTTGGGTGTAGTTTCTGATGGCCGCGGTGATCATGGTTTCCACCTCGTCTCGGGTATACGTGCGCTCATTGGGAGCCTGAGCGGGGGTTGTGGCTGGCCTTCTCGAAGCAGTTTCGCCATCCTGGAACTCGAAAGAGGGGCTGCTTGGAGCGAAGGGGATCCGGCCCTCCTTTTCAGGTGTAAGGAAGCTACACCCCGATTTATCTTTCTGAACGGACGATGGGTCAACCGGTGCACCACGGGCTACCGCATCCAAATCCTTCTGCAAATTCCGGGCGACTGCGTCTTCTCCGTCCATTCTTTCTCCACGTTCTCAGCTCAGATCTGGACTTCCGGGGGTAGATCTGATTTTTCCCGGAAGCTGTTTTCTCCTGATTTTTAGGCCTTTCCCACAGACGGCGCCACTTGATTTGGTCCGTGGGGCTCTTCCTCGCGTCCTCTAAGCTCTCTGTCGGATTCCGGTAGAAAAAAGACCTGCAACGCCGGGAGGTGTTCCCGGCGGGAAAGCTCCGACGATCAAGTCAGTATGATTTCAAAGCGAGTTTTTAGAAAGTACGTAAAAGTATGTGAAAAAATGTATATTATCTGTGTGGAAAAACGCAATATCATTCCCTATTTATAAATGAGGAAACCTTGGCCTCCAAGGTTTCCTTTTTAGGGTTTTTCCCCCCTCAAGCCATTGTGTGTATTGGGCCTTTTACAACCCTGGGCTCGATTTACCACGAGCCGATACTGGGCCTGCGAGCCGAAGTTCCGCAGTTCGTCGTTGAGGTCGTACGACCTAATGGTCTTTTTATATCATTGGGCTGAATTGCCATGGGCCTTTTGTCGTGGGCCTAATTCGTATTGGATCTTTCCAGAATGGCCCGTATCACCGGGCTTGTTCGAACTAATGGTTTGAATAGTTGATCATCAACACTCAATAAAATTGGACAAGTTGAGGTCTATTGATATATCAAGCATAAAAAAATAAAAATAAAAATAAAAATAAAATAGGAAAACCAAACTTGAACCATTAATCGGCCCGGCCTGGCCCGTATTTATGTTCGTAGCATTGTTTAATTTTTAATTACTCGTTCGAGCAAACTAATGAAAAATTTAATTCAATTCATAGTCTTGACTAGTAGTAACTTGTAAGTAGTAACGCAAGCGTATGCGTATAAGTAGACGTATACGTACACGTATACATTTAACGCCAAATACGTACAGTACGATCGTCACTTCCAGAAGCCACCAGTAGAGGATGAGCTGGATTCCAGGTCACAGAGTTCACCGTGTCAGAATGACCATGAACCGTACCGAGCAGCTCCCCGGAACCCCTATGCCATACGTATACCTATATATATATATATATATATATATATATATAACCGGTCGAATCGGTCACTCATTCCGTATGATAAAAATACGAAACTTTTGAAAAGAATAATTAATTTACCCAGGAGTCCTCGCTTCCACTGGCAATAAACCGTCCGAAAAAGCAAGCCCTCACAACGTATTTTTTACATTTATGCCCCTTGTAAACCATCACAATCTCGGGATCTTCAAGCCCTATATTCCATAAATGAATTTCTTCGTTCGACAAGCTAACAAGCAAAAAAATACCGTCTCCCGACAATGTAAAAGAAACTATATCTCCGTCTTCGTAGATGAATCTCTTCGACTCGGTTTCCCATTCGAACAAAAGTATCGTATTGCGTTCACAAGCAGTTACGACAACCTCCCTCCCCCCGTCGTCAAGAGTGACCGCCAGGTCAGCAATAATCCTCGTAATTCCCAATATGCCATCCCAAGATCGAAGCTCCTCTCCTTGTAGACTCCACACGACAATACTGCCGTCATTGAGGCCAGCGAATATAGTCTCCCCATGTGGGCCCCACGCGCACGAGACTGTGCCGAGATTCTCTTTTCCCTCGTACGTGTGGAGACACGAGGAGATCAAGTGATGATCATATCCTCCTGTGGGAGGAATGTTCCACCGCTTCACGGTCTCCCCTACACCACAGCTCAGTAATTCAACGTCGTCGTGTCTCCATGTAATATACGAGACCGGTTTGGTGTGGCCCACTAATTTTGTCGTCATAGGCCCAAACCACAGATCCTCGAAAATCTACCAAAAACTTTGAAGTCAGTCTTAAATAACATTTAACAAATTAGTTTGAAAAAAAAAAAAAAAAAAAAAAAAACCCCGCGACGCGACGCATTAATTACCGGCCACAAGATCACATCAGCACCACCGGTGGCGGCCAAGTATTTCCCGGAGTGAGAAAATTGCACGAACCAAACTTCACCCGCTCCGTCACCCTTTAATAACTATAATAAAGGAACGATCAATACATAAACATCGATCAATATATACGTATTAAAAAAAAGGGAAAAAAAATGTCACCTGTTTAATTCGATAAGGAGCTGCTTTTCCATGTTGAGGATAACCGAAGTATTTTTTTCTCGGGGGAAACAAATTTCGCAAATCTTCTAATACTCTCTTACGAGAGCTGATCGTAAGTCCTGATTGATCTTGACCACAGAAGTTGTGCTGCGATGGAGATGGAGACACGATCAAAGCAGGGAGCAGCTTACGAGTTATTTTATTACCGTTATCGAGTGGAGCGATCTCGTGCTTGAGCATCAGATAAGCATCAACAGCTTTGTCGTCTCGAGATAAATGTTCGTGAAATTTGTTCTTCAATATAACAAACGTAATCTTGTCAACATACTTATCAATGTCACGCAGTGTGGATTGACTTTCGTCCCATTTACCATCGATTATTTGCTCCATGAACAAATCTACTCGTTCTTTATGCAACTCGATTCCGGGCCCTTTGCCAAGTGAGTATAACAACTTGGTTATATCTCGAACGAGTTTGGTTTTCTTGAGAACCCTCTTTGAAAAAAAAACTGATGCATCACCAGATGATGATGCAGATGGCAAACCCATGAAGTACTAACTGAATCTTGAAAAAAAAAAAAGAAAAAAAAAAAGGAATCTTTATGGAACAAAAATGCACAAATTGATTTATTAGGGAAAATAATTAATTAATGCCAATCAAGAAATACCCAAAATTGCAAACATTTTTGGAAACCCTAGTTTCTAATTAATCATACAACAGAGTTGTCCATGTGTAACAAACCTGCCAATTCTTTTGGCTATTTCTTTGAGTCTGTTAGTGTGTTGTTAGTGGCTAGGTCAAATTGGCTGCGGCCAATCAGAGGAGGACACGTGGTCGTCTTCTTCAGCTGGATATCAGCTCTTTCCCTTTTCATTTTTTATTTTTCTTTTGGGAGGGTGGGGTTTTTTTTAAACGAAAGTTTCGAGTTCCATCGATTCCGATCCAAATATTTTCGATTATGGAAATAGTTTTTCACCCTGAATCTGAAATTCGAAAGTTTCTTCGAACGTTAGATTCCAATTTCCGATTATTACACAATTTACATTATAGGTGACTAGAATTTGGAAATTCCGAATTTTACCAATTTCGGTCCGAAAATTTTCAATTTTGAAATTCCAATTTCTGAATTTTATGAATTTGTTTGGAACATAATTAGTTTTTGAATTCCAAAAAAAATTACAAATTTTTTGTTACTAATGGTTTGGATAGGGGTCTTCCAAACATCAAAAAAAAAAGGTACAAAAATAGAAAAAACAAAATTCAACCCTTAATCGGTATGCACTCGGTTCTAGGTCAACGGCTCGTTTCGACTCAACGTTGAATCTTCGAGTGTTCAAGAATTTTACAAACTTTATAGAACCAAATTAGTTTCACACATTCCTCTAACAAAAAAAAAAAAAAAAAAAAAAAGCTGTACATATGAAACAACAACTGCAAAAGAGTATAGTTTCTTGTCTTTCCTGATCAAATCTTTACCTTTCTTTCTACAATTGGCTGATCCATTCATTCATCCATTGACTGAATCGCGTCAGCCTGTCGATTTAAGTCAAGGGAAAATTCCAAAGAGATTTCATCAATATAATAAATTGCGTCGAAAGAACAGATTAATTAGTAGTACTCACTGGTAATTAAGTTCTCCTGTCAAAACATTCTCACACTCGTCGGGATCAAAATTCCATGCTTGTACGATACGATCGTCACCTCCAGAAACCAGCATAAGAAGACGAACTTCATTCCAGCTCACACAGTTCACAGTGTCCAAATGACCACCACACACACCAATCAGCCTTCCCGTTCCCCTATGCCACACGTATACCTATACATACATATAAAACCCGTACATATAAAAACCGGTCACTCATTCTGTGTATAAAAAAAAATTTACCGAATCTTTTAATGAATTAATAATATACATACTTTGGAGTCCTCGCTTCCACTGGCAATAAACTGTCCACAAAAACAAGCCCTCACAACGTATCTTTTACGTTTATGCCCCTCGTAAGTCCTCACCCACCGGGGATTTTCATGTCGTATGTTCCACAGATTAATTCTTTCATCGGCCAAGCAAACAAGCAAATAACAACCATCTTCCGACATTGAAAACGAAACTATATCGCCATCTTCGTAGAGGAATCTCTCGCCCTCGTCTTCCCATCGGAAGAAAAGTATCGTATTGTAATCACGGGTAGTTATGAGCTCCCTCCCGTCAAGAGTGATCGCCAGGTCAGCAATCCTCGTGGTCCTAGCATCCCATAATCCAACCTCTTCTCCTTGCAGATTCCACTTGATAATACTGCCGTTATCAAGACCTGCGTATATACTCTCCCCATTTCGGGCCCACACGCACGAGACTGTACCGAGATTCTCTTTTCGGTACGTGTGCAGACAGGAGACGTCTCCTATGGGAGAAATTTTCCACCGCTTCACGTTCTCCTCTACACCACAGGTCAGAAGTTGAAGATCATTGGGTTTTCTCCATGTAATATACGAGACAGGTTGGACGTGGCCCACTAATGGATTCAGACGCATAATCCCACCAGACTCCCGAAACTACACACACACACACACACGCAAAAACAAACAACAAAAGGGAAGACGGTTAAGTAAAGCTCCGTATAACAGAGCATAACGATTTCAAACAATATGAGTTGAAAAACGGTACACAGTAGAAAAGTTAAATATGAAATATATGAAATATGATGTAAACACTAAACACAGTAAATACAAATATCTTTCATTTGGACACGAAAACCAACGATAGTAGCATACATAAATTTGAAGACGAGTACATATTACTTGTACACTCCATGTAAATAACATTAAACAGATAAGTTTGAAAAAAGAAGCCGCGTTACCTTCCATATATTTACATCATTGCCACTGGTGGCAGCCAAGTATCTCCCACAGTGAGAAAATTGCGCGAACCACACTTCACCCGGCCCGTGACTCATAAATGTCTATAATACCAAAAAAAACCAAAAGACGGGAAAAATAAAACCCAAAAGAGAGATCAATACATAAGTGACGGGATAATATCTTTCTACCGAAAAAGATAACTAAGTAAAATCACCTGTATAGTTGTATGCGGAACCTTGTCTTTTCCATGTTGATGACTAGGCTTCAATGATTTTCTAGGGAGAAGCAGATTTCCCAAATCCTCTAATACTCTCTTACGGGGCCTGATTCCCGATTCTTGACCACATAAATTCCGGGATGAAGATATAATCAGAGAAGAGAGCTCACGAGTTATTTCATCAGTGTCATCAAGTGGAGCGATCTCGAGCCTGAGAGTCTTACAAGCTTCTATGACTTTGTCATCAATTAAAAGTTCGTAAAATTTCTTCTCCAATGCAAGAAAGGATTTCTTGTCAACATGTTTGCCGATTTCACGCAGTGTAGATAGACTTTCATCCCACTGACCATCAATTATTTGCTCGATAAACAAATCTACTCGTTCTTCATGCAACTCTATTCCGGCCTCTTTCTCTAGACTCTTCCCTTCCCTATCATAGCAGAGCGAATATAACACCTTGGTTATACCTCGAACGAATTTACTTTTCTTAAGAATCGTGTTCGAACGAACAACTGCGTTTTCACCCCCTTGAGATGATGAAGAGGGCATATCCATGGAGCAACAATCACCTGCCATGAAGTACACCTCGATTAAAGGGCTGAATCTTTCTTGAAAAAAAAGTCTTTGAGAAATGAAGATACAGTTTCGTACAGAGTAATGAACAAAAATGCACAAATTGATTTATTAGGGCAAATCCACGAAAACAGTTCTTCCCCAAATCTGAAATACCCAAAATCGCAAACATTTTTGGAACACATGCTACTCAATTAAGCTTCGATGGAATCAAATTCAGAAATCAAAATCGCAAACAAACTAAAACACAATAAACTATAAACCAAACGACGCCGTAAAGAAAGAAGATTAAGAGAATCAATTTCTGACCTGCGTATTTAGAACTTCAACCGGCTGATAATTCCAGAATTTTCCAAAATCTTCAGAGAACTGCGATTGCGTGTGCGATTCTTGAAACAAACCGATAGCGAATTTGACGAAATTAATGGAGAAAAATAAAATGAAATTGCGATTCAAAAAGTTGAATTTTGATAAAGCTGTTTTTGAGTTTGAAGCTGAAAACTGTATTTTCCCTCCAAAAGGAAAAATATGAGCGTCTACTGAGTACTGAGTCCTCACTACTGTACTACATTTATATCAAGAAAAAAAAAAAGGCTAAATTGTAATTTGGACCCTAAACTATGACCGTGTTTGCATTGTCCACCCTTAACAATAAACAATGACATCTTGACCCTGAAATTAATATTAATTAGACAATTTGCGTCCCAAGGTTAAAAAACATCTATTTTTCACCATTTTCTAAGGCTAATATAGTCCTTTTCCATTTTTTTAGCCCAACACATGGAGATCTATGATTATTCCTCTAAGCTCATTTGCCAAACCTTGGTCAATTTTATTTATTTATTTTATAAATTATTTTATTTTTCCAAATTTATATCCATTTTTAAGTTCCATGCATAAATAAAAATATTAGATATATTAAATTTAGGTGACTAACTACAAATTAAAAATAAATAAAATAAAAATAAGCAAATATAAAAATAAATCTAGACCTTTAAAATTTCAACAAGCCTACATTGGCAAAACTCATTTGCTGTCAAGAACAATCATATATTCACAGAGATAATAGCTATTGCAAATTTGCATATGCAGCACAAGAAAAAAACCTATACATGTACTTCCAACATATACGTATTCGTATACGTATATGTATGCGTATGCACGTTTAACCCCATATGGCAATAGTACAATCGTCACTTCCAGAAGCCAGCATATTAGTACGAACCGGATTCGAGGCAACACAATTCACAACATCCGAATGTCCTTCCAATGTACACATCAGCACCCCCGTCTCCCGATTCCATATGTATACCTATACACACACACACGTATACCGTATATTAATCTATAAAATACGAGCGTACGTGTTTCGAAGAATATGTTTGTAAGCGTACCTTGGAGTCCTCGCTTCCACTGGCAATCAGCGTTTGATCGATTCCGCAAAAACAAGACCTCACAACAAAACGCTGACGTGTAATCCCGTCGTACGTCAGCAGCATCACGGGACCATCAAGTCCTATGTCCCACACATGAAGTTCTCTGTTCGACATGCTGACGAGCAAGAAATCGCCGTCTTCCGAACGCGAAAACGAGACTATGTTTTCGTCCTCGTGTATGAAGCTCTCGTTCCCAGTTTCCCAATCGAAGAGAAGTATTGTATCGTACTCGCTAATAGATATCAGCTCGGTCCCTTCACGAGTGACCGCCAGGTCAGCAATCCTGGTTGTTTTCGAGTCTTGCCAAAATCGAACCTCTTCTCCTTGTAGATTCCACATGCTGATACTGCCGTCGTTGAGGCCAGTGAATATACTCACCCCATCTGGGGCCCACGCACACGAGACTGTACCGAGATTCTCTTTCCCGTACGTGCGGACACATGAGAAGTCCCCCGTGGGAGGAATGTTCCACCGCTTCACAGTCTCCTCTACACCACACGTCAGCAGTTCAAGATCATTGGCTCTCCATGTAAGATACGAGACTGGTTCGAGGTGACCCTCTAATTTACTCGGAACCGAAAACCCGCCACACTCTAGAACCTACAAAAACGGGAAGATAAAAAATTAAAAAAATAATAAATAAATCGACAAAAAATTATTGATCGATCGATCGTAAATTGCATTACCTCCCATACGTACACGGCCCTATTACTGGTTGATGCAGCCAAGTATTTCCCATTGTGAGAAAATTTCAAGAACCACACTTCACCCATGTCTCCCCTTAATTTCTATAATAGTGTGTATAATTAAAAAAAAAATTAAATAAAAAAAATTATACGAGTTGAAAGTCGTGTATGTAAAATCACCTGTATAATTCTGTAAGGAGCCTCTTCCCCGCCACGTTGATGATTAGTGACCAATGTTATATCCCTGGCCATGTACATTCTGCATACTTCTATAAGCAAATCTCGCATTTTGTCTAATACTTTCCTGCGAGGCCCGAATATCGATTGTTGACTACAAAAATTCTGCGATGGGGATACAGTCAAAATAGAGAGCTTACGAACTATTTCTGCGATCTCGAGCCCGAGAGCCGTACAAGCTTCTTTGACTTTCTCGTAAAATTTGTGCTCCAATATAAGCAATGATTTCTTGTCGACATGTTTACAAATATCAAGCAGTGTAGATAGACTTTCATCGCATTTACCATCGATTATTTGCTCGATAAACAAATCTATTCCGGGCCCTTTCTCGAGACTCTTCCCTTTACGATCGTAGACGAGTGAATATAACAGACTCTTTATACCTCGAACGAGTTTAGTTTTCTTAAGAACCGTGTTCGAACGAACAACTTCATTACCACCCCCTTGAGATGATGTAGAGGGCAAATCCATGGAGCAACTGATTCTCGTGCAATCCAGCTGCCGCGAAAAAAGTACAGAATAATGAACAAAAATGCACAAATTGATTTATACGATCGAGAGATAACAAGTAATTGGAAATCCACGAAAAACATTTCATCCCCAAATCGGAAATACCTAAAATCACAAACAGTTTGCAACTCAATTTTTCTAAACCCAGCTACTCAATCGCGCTTCAAAAAAATCAAAATCAAAATCAAAATCCGACCTGTCACCTGTGGGCAGTGGTGTATTTTAGATCTTCAACGGCTGATTATTCCAGAATCTTCTTAATTTTTCTTTGGGTTTAAGAAATGGAGATTTTCGATTGTTTGTTTGAAGAAATGAACGGAAAACAAAAAATGGATCTGCGCTTCAATTACTGGAATTTTTGTTATTTTCCCGCCAAATATTAATTTGTTTGTTTATTTTATATTTTGTATCCTTTTTTAAATGACAAAATATATAACAACTTATTAACTATAAATTGCTTCACCTTTGTGTTGGTGTAATTGGAGTATTGAAATAACTAACAAAACTTTAAAAAAACAAACAAACAAACCAACCCAAGAAATTTCTCTAAAAAATTCAATTAATAGAAAATCAATGGCAAAATATGAACAGACCCATCGTTTAATATGGACCGTTGATCGTCAATCATCAATCATCAGCAGATCTAAACCTTTAAAATCAACAAAAAAATGAAATATGCTAGAGTAACTATCTTCACTGGTAACATATACGTATACGTATTTAACCCCATATACGTATAGTACCGTCGTCACTTGCACTAGCCAGCATACTAGGATTAGTCGGATTCCAGCTCACACAGGTGACAGTTCTAGAATGGCCCTCCAACTTACGTATAATCTCCCCCGAAGCCCTATCCCATACGTATACCTATAAACACACCGTATATAAAAAAAAAACTCGATTATTTAATAATTATAAAAAAAAATAAAAAATCGAAAATTATAACATTATACAAAATGGAACAAACAAATAGATAAAATAACCTGTGTGTCCTCACTCCCACTGGCTACAAACCCTTGTCCCTTTCCACCGAAACAAGTCCTCACAATAAATTTTTGACGTTTATGCCCCTCGAACGTCTTCACAATTACGGGTTGTTCGAGCCCTATGTTCCACAGCTGGATCTCTTCATTCAACAAACTGACGAGCAGAAAATCGCCGTCTTCCGATAAACAAAACGTGAGCACCTCTCCATCCTCAACCTCTAGCAATTTCCTCTTTTCGTGCCCGAACAAAAGTATCGAATCCAGATCGAAAGCAGTTATGATCACTCCATTGGATTTGATCGCCAGGTCAGATGTCCACGAGGACACGTGCGGCTCCTCGAGGCGGTGCATCTCTTTGCCCTCGAGGCTCCACACGATGATGGTGTGGTCGGCAAGTCCGGCTAATACGCAGTCGCCTTTCGGGGTCCACGTGCATGAGAATGTGCCGGTGCCCCAGATGAAATATTCCCGGAGAAGCTCGCCGGAGAGAATATTCCACCGCCGGACCCTTTCGTTTTGGCCGCAGGTGAGGAGCTGCGTGTCGTCGGGGCTCCATGACATGTACGAGACGGCTTTTGAGTGGCCGCGTAGAACGCGCATCAAACTGACTTCGTGCGTTGCCTCGTTTACCTACCGAAATTATTTTAATCGAAGTTCGATTTTTTATCAAAAAAAAAATCAAAAGAATTAAGCAACACTTTTAATTAGTTACCTCCCATATAACAACACGATAGTCTCTAGACGATGAAGCCAAGTATTTCCCATTGTGAGAAAATTGCACGAACCACACTTCATCGAAGTGTCCTTTTAATATCTGCAATGTTTTACAAAAAATATATAAAAATAAAACGAAATATAATATCGAATATATTAGTTTTCTAATAATAAAAAATACAGAATATAACAATACCAAGATTCTATGAAAAAAAAAATCACCTGTAAAGTTTTCGATGGAATATGTGTATACTTCTCATCAAGAAGAGCCCGATCGACAAGATTAGCCAATCTCCGCTCGGGAATCATCTGCCTCGAGAGAATATTCCGAAGATTCGGCATTATTTCCCCGAGAGATTCTTTACTATGAGACCTGTTAAGTAAGTAACGAGCCATCAAATGTTTATCGTTCTTACAAAGTGGAGCAATCTGATTCTTCAGAGTATTCGAAACTTCGGCGAAATTTTTCTCGATACAAGCTTTGGAAAGTTTGTGCTGCAGTATTGCCGCGGAAGCCGACTCGACGGACTTTTCGTCGATCGATTCGATACTGGGCAGTGTTGATAGGCTTTCGTCCCATTCGCCCTTGATTATTTGTTCCATGAACAATTTTACTCGTTGGGAGTGCAAATGTATGCCCGATTCTCTCTCTAGACACATCGCTGTTTCTTTATAGTCGAGCGAATTTAGGGCTTCGATCATAAATCGAACAAGTTCGACCTTCTTGATTAGGGTTTGTGAACCGGCGATTACCTGAGATTCTCGAGGCTGAATACCCATTGAAACTGCAATTAAAAACAGGCTTCGGTTGAAACGAGTAATTGACGAAAGTGGTACGAACTGATTAATCCAAGAAAACCGACACTCTTGCTCAGAAACGATAATTCGTCGAATAATCAGAAAACGGGAACGATAAAACAAACACCACATATAAACCCCAGAAGACCAATTAAAAATTAAAAAATAATCATAAAAAACGAACTTTTCACAGTGTTCTAAGAGAATCAGTGTCGAACCTGTGTCGTTTTTCGGAAATTATGCAGATGATGATCGGCGAAATCTTCCGGGGCGAACGGGTTTCGTTCGTCTGCACCGAAGAACAGAGATTCTTGAAGAAGAGATTGCTTTGATTCTTGAAAGAAATGGTTTGGTTGCTCAAGCAGAAGTAAATGAAAGAAGAAAATGGCGAAGTCTGTTATATATATGATGTGGGTTTTGAAGCGAGGCAGTTATTTTTTTCCCCCCAACGGAAAACGGTTGGCGATAATATTATTTAATTATTATTTTTTGGGGGGTGGGGTCGGGGGGTGGGGGGGTGGTTACTGATATCTCGAGATATGTTTACTTAAAAGGGTAGATCATAAACAATTTTGTCGAAATATACAAGGGGTATTTTTGTAATTTCCATATTTAAAAGTTTGTATATATATACTTCAAAAAAAGAAAATACAATTCATAATATTTGTAACCAACACTTAAATTCAATATTAACTAAATTTCAACAATATGCGTGTCAATATCCAAACACATTTTACACACTTATATATGTATATGTGTGTGATTGCACGTGTACATCTATGATAATAATAATAATAATAATAATAATAATAATAATAATAATAATAATAATAATAATAATAATAATAATAATAATAATAATAATAATAATAATAATAATAATAATATATTATCACGTATATTTCACTATTTGTAGCATCTATAATAAATCAAAAATTAAAAAAAATGAAAAAAAAAATTAATTAATGTAGTTTCAAGAATCTTAGGAATGATCAATAGTTTAATCAAGGCGAACTTAAGAGGAAGATTAGTGTAATAAACCTAAAAAATTATATACATCCAGCCAACGAAGCAATATTAATTCGTTAAAAGTATTCAATTCTATCGAGAAAATAAATATTTGAACAAAACGATCGTAATTAAATTCCGACTATTTTTCATGCCACGAAAATCTTTCACTACTTCCTCTGCATCTTAAATCTTGAAACGGGCTTTGAGCTACGAGTACCAATCTGTTGCTCTGGCATATTCGTTCGGATGTCATGAGCACGCTCTACAATTGAACCTGTAAAAGCCTGCTCCGTGGTAAAATTGACATTCATCAGTAAAATAGTAACACTACAAATCAAGTGTATTCCAATTTATTTAGCAGACAATCGTGTGTGTAATAAGCGAACTTCAATCGAAGAAACTGTGTACTTAAATACGAATTTTATACGGCAAAACTTTGATGAGAAGATAAATAATTTACCGTCTTGTTGGCTGTAGGCGGAGCTTGAACTTCCTTCTTTTCTCGAGGTTGCTCTAAAGACGTATTCATCATACTGTTGTTGAGCGCTGGATAATCCCCGTGCGAAGACACCTCTACATTAAACACCGTTTTCAGGAAATACTAAATTTCATACAATTCGAATATACACAAACAATGAGGTTTGTACATGTAAAATCAAAATCGAACAAACGAACAAATTTACAGCAAATTGATTACACTTTGACAAGCAAATGAAGCTACCACTCAGTATGAATATATACCTTTTGATACTGCTGGCATTTCTGAAGCTTCAACCTGAATGAATCATCGAAGCCGAAAATAGTATTAACTAAAAATTATAAAATCTGATAACAGTGATTCAGCAAAGTAAGTTATGGAACTTGCAACGAAGGGTTTGGTACCGATAAACTTCCAACTTCTTCATCAGTGGTAATTTGACCGCTTGTGCTATTTGGCTCGTTTTGTATCTGCTCATTCTCATTAGATACATCCCCTTTTGCAGCTTCTTCTTCTTCTTTTTCGAGTTCAGCCATCCGTGCAAGTAAGCGTATGTATTCTTCATCTTCGTATGCACCTTTTTTATCGCCGACCTCGACAAAAGGAGTATTCTCAGATTTTGTATGTCCTGCAACCAATAATTAACGTCCCGGTTTATCACTTTGTCAACATTGCCAAGTATAAGATAAAATCAATAATCGATAGAAAACATTCTCCTATGGCATTTTCACATTCAATAGAAAGGGAATTCCTTTTACAATATAATGCGACACTCAGTCGTACTTCTCCTTTTTATAGTCAAAATGTATTGTGCGGAATGACAGAAATTAATATAAAAAATTAAGTTGAACGAACCTGCTGCGGGTAATGTCCCAGAAGCTTCCTCAACATAATCTTCCCTGATCTCTACGAGACCCTCCTGTGAATCGAACAGCGTCAACTATATAAGACAGGTGACCAGAAACCTAACTAGAATTCATAAATCATCAGCTTTAACGTATCTACAAATCGCAAGAATAATTATTTAGTTCAAATATGACTATGACGAAGCTTTGTAACATGCATAATTTCTTGAGTAACACCAATAACAGTTTTCTTTTCTTTTTTTTTTCTGGAGACTCGACTCTACCCATAGATACAACTTCTTAGGACCATTAGAGAAACCATTGCATGGTAAATCGTGAAAGTCTAACAGAAGAAACAACTTTGGGTTCAAAATGATTGTCTGATCGTCTAAAGTTGATAATGCATTAGCTAGAAAAAAATAAATCATGATGGCTACTTTATCTAGAAGTTCCGTTTTTAGTTAATTTTAAAGATGAGAAATTTCCAGCTCTCGTCTATAGATAAATACGAATTAAAGAACGCCCAATAATCACAGTGCAAGTCACCGGAAAAAGTGAAATGATTTCTCACAAAATCAACAAGCTTACCGCTGACTCATCGGCAGTAACGTCAAAGAATGAGGCCTCCGCCTTTAAGTCCTGCATTATAGCCTTCAAAGATTCAACTTGGGCCTCTAATGCCTTGCCTCTTCTTTTTAAAATTTCAGCTGTTTGTTTTGATGTTCTTTCAGCGTAGTAGCCTTCTCCTAAAAGAACCTACAGTTAATCATTAAATGTGAAAAACGATGAAGTAAGAGAATTGTAGGGAGTTTAAAAGTGTCTCGGTTACTTCTACTATGACGAATTTCTGATACTTTGGTAATTCGGTAAATTTATTTGGCTTATTGGCATTCATTCGCCAAAGAAAAATGACATTTATGAAGTGACGTCATTGGATTGAATCAAATGACCACATAGAAACTCACTTCACAGGAAACACGGGTTGATACGATATAAATATACATATCAACCTAGGTTGCACGACTTTTAGACATAAAATCACCAAATACAGAGACCAATTCAATAATGGTGGAGCGAGATTAGAAAATTAAAAACACTATTTTAATAGTGAAATGGTTATCTGAAAAACCAATCTCGCATCATAGAGAACAAACAAATAAAAGGCCTTCTTAAGTACGATCATTGCCTGCAAAGAAATGTGCTTGTACATTTTACTTTTAGGCTATTCATCATTCAAGCAAAACAAAACGAGACTAATCAAACACTCTTTTGATCCACCATTAGATCATCTACTCAAAATCGTGAGACGTATATAAATAAGAATCTGCCCCAATCCGCACTTTCTCAATCATGTCATTAACAATAACGGGATAGATAGGGTAAATTTATCTCCAGGCATACCAAAAAGTAAATAGGCGTTTTCAATCACTAAGTAAAACAGTTCTTTATCTCCAACTATTTTCAAAAATATTGAAAGCTCTACTGTCTTTAAAATGGTAGATCCGTATTTCGATCAAGTTAATAGTGGTGTGAGAGTAACTAGCAATATATATACCTGACCACTATGAACAACCATATCTATGCATGATGTTACCATCGCATATGCAGTATGAATGCACCAGGGAAAATTAAACTTCATCAAACGATTCAAATCAGAAATGTTAAACACAACCAACAAGAACAAAAACAATGATCAATGAATTGAGAGACTAATTATCCCAATTAGAAGTGGTTACCGTAAGTTCATTAGTGTGAATCAACCGACCAGGAAAAAATGCCGCTTTCCCAAACGGAACCTATCAATCAACAGAAAAACAAAATAGCCTCACTTTAGGTTTACACAAAGGGGAGCGTAATTTGATATGAATACCAAAAAAAAAAAAGATGGAATTCTAACCATGATATTGTGGTGAGTTTCATCGGGGAGTTTCTGAACGAGGTTCATAATGCTAGTATTGTCATCAATGAAGGCCTTGAGTTGGTTGAGCTGCTGTTCGCGCTCGGCGATTGCGTCCTGCACGCGCCTCGAAGCTTTCTGGGTTTCCTCTGCCGGATAAATCGAGGATAGTTGCGTCACTGTGCCCTTCTTCTCCATCGTATTCTTTTTTAATTACTAAACTTAATAACAATTACAAAAATCCATCATCTATCACAAAATTCAGTTTCTTCAAAGTTTTAACAACTACGAACAGTAAAATGAAGAGGACTGATAATTATCGGAACCCTAGACGGAAAAAAACTACAATTCAGAGAACTAATGGAAACTCGTAATTAGTTCAAACAATTAACCACAGTCAGTTTCTTATAACCTCTAAAATTCACAGCAATAATCTAATGCAAAACTTGCGAAATTTAATAAATATATATTTCTTAAGAAAATAATTGATGATAAATGAATTCGATGAGATACCTGATTAAGGTGGCTAGGGTGTTCGAACGTGTGTGTCATGACCCGCGGAGGTTCTGGTGGAGGCGACGACGGCGTAGGCGGCGGAGAGTTAGGGGAGAAGGTGATCGGAGAATTGGGAATTGATGAAGTTCGCTACGACATCGTTTTGGGTATTTGAGAGCTGCAAGAATAATTGGGCCAGCTACTTGAAAAAGCCCAATCGAATTAAATAAATTAAGCCCAATTTTTGTTTAGAGTAAAAAAATATTTTAATTTTGAGATTCACTTTCAAAAATTTCATTGCTTCAATTGAAATAGGTATGATGAAAAAAAAAAACAATTGAAATAGGTAAATACTTGTTCAATTTTTTTATTTTTTTTGTTATTAACAATGAGTATTTATTAATAAATATCTATTTATATTATATCATTATATATTTACCAATAAAAAAAACAATCGGGGGCGCTGCTTCTGAATCCACGTATTTATTTCAAAGTACAATTAATAATTTACACACTCATTCCGAAGATTCCGGACAACCTTAACCGATATTGAGTTATCGTAAGTCGTTACTCATAAGTGTAAGCCCTACTTAGGCAATGTTTATTACAAAGTAATTATTTATGTAATTGCTCGATTAGTGTAATATAGAATAAACATTAATCGTTATCGTAATATATTTATTCGTAAATGAGCTACAAAAAGTTAAAAAACTTACAAGTATATACTTATACTGTTATACATCTTTGATGTTTAAATCTTCTAGAAGATATGTATGGTTAGCAACATAATTATTCAATTAATTATGGATTATTGGTAAGAATAATTTAGGTTGTTGCTTATTTGTCATATTATTAGTATCCCTTGTCTTTTATTTTGTCACTTGGGAAGATGATGAAGAATCAATATAATTTGTATATTAGTAGACTAATAGTATCAATTGTACCAAATATTCCGCTCAACCAAACAAGGTGTTAAACCACAAGTTTTACGGGTCTGCAAAATATAAATACGAGACAAGAAAATAGCTAATAAATAAGTTTATAGATTAAACTGAAACGTGGATTACAATCTACGAGAATTCTTCTCTGCTATTCTAAAATCGATTTCCTCAAATTCAAATATGTTATGAATTCAAAACGTAGACTCGAGACTTGAGTTTGAGAGCTCGATATGTGTCTGTGTGAGTCTAAATTTGCATGAACAGTAAGACTAGAATTTCTTGTGTAGCATTGGGCCGGTATACTTGGATACATGATATTTAATTTATTTGGGTTAAATATAGGCCCATTTAGCTAATCCAAAAATTAAAATTTTATTACTTTTTTTTTTTATTAACCTACTGATCGGATTTGTAAAGCTCAAACATATTATGGATTCGATTTGGAACCCAAATTATAACCGATTTATTTGGCTATTAATTAGTGATTTATCCCGATATTTTAGTGTCAACACAACTACACAAGGCATTATATATCAATACATTAATCGAATTACGTAAAGTATTATAATATAGAAATATTAAAATAAATCACAAAATGAGCTTCAATAATCTATTAAGGCCCCGTTTGGTTGACAAGATAAGATTAGCCAAGATAAGATTAAATAATCTAATGAGACCCAATTATTTTATTGGAGCTTGAAAGGTCCAATAAAAAAAACTCATTAAGAGGCAAGATAAGTCAAGATAAGGCAAGATAAGCCATGATTATTTAATTTTGGCGGGTCGACCCGGCAAGTTATTGAGGATACCAAACATCAAATTAAGTCCAACTATTTAGTTAATCATGGCTTATCTTGGCAACCAAACGGGGCCTAAAACAATTGTCGAATCCGAGAGGCTCGACTCGAGATCATTAAACATCTTAGAAATAGAACTAAAAGTTTAAAACTCAATAATCTATAAAAAAAAAATCATATTTTAAACATTGAGTTGCCGAGTTAACTCGTCGAGTTTGAGTACCACCGACAGTAGTCATCATAAAATAATCATATCATAAACCATAAAACGACCGTTGCAATAAAATTCAGAGCTTCCCACTTAAAATAAGCTGACATTAAAAATCTATAATCCAAGCTTTTATATATATATATATATATATATATATATATATATTATGGGTAAATTATGTTCGGCCCATCCTAAGGTAATGTCAAATTACAAAAAAAAAATCATGTTTCGCTAATTGCGACCACCCCCTTAACAATGAGACTTCATACACGTTCACCCTTAAGACGTTAAATTCAATATAATCTTCTAGATTCCGTGGAATGTTCTATAACGTGTATACGTTTTGTGCAAAAATACAGTTTTGGATGCACCACAATCTGATATTTACGAGCCAATATATACATCTTATGATCATCTTGTTTCAAAATGTGGAGCTCGAATGAAAAAAACGGGTACGGATTGAAGAATATTCCACATAATCTAGAAGATTCCACTAAATTTGACACAGTAAGAGTAAACTTGTAAGACGTTCATAGTTAATGTGCGGTTGTAATTACCGAAATATAAGGATTTTTTTGTAATTTAATCATAAGACAACGGTGGTCGTAATTTACCATATATTATATATATTTATCTTTATATTATATAGTATATATATATATACAGACACAAAAACGTTGAGCAAGCACTCATATCAGAAACACACACTACATACACTATCCCCACACACACTTTAGTGGACACAATGCAGCTAAGGATCATGAGTTTCCGGTGCGTCCTCCTCCTCATCGCCGCCGCGGCCGCCACCACAGCCAATGCACACAATGTCACCCACATGCTGGCCAAGCACCCCGACTTCTCCACCTTCAACCACTACCTCACAACCACCCACCTCGCCGACGAGATCAACCGCCGCCGCACCATCACCGTGTGCGCCGTCGACAACGCCGCCATGAACGAGCTCCTCTCCAAGCACTACTCCCTCTACACCCTCAAGAACATCCTCTCCCTCCACGTGTTCGCCGACTACTTCGGCGCCAAGAAGCTCCACCAGATCACCAAGAGCTCCACCACCACCTCCTCCCTCTTCCAGGCCACCGGCGAAGCCGACGGAACCTCCGGCTACGTCAACATCACAGACATGAAGGGCGGCAGGGTCGGCTTCACCCCCGTCGACAGCGACGCCGACCAGCCAATGGCCACTTTCGTCAAGTCCATCGAGGAGCTTCCGTACGACATCGCCGTCATCCAAATCAGCCACATCCTCTCCTCGCCGGAGGCCGAGGCCCCCACCGCCGGCCCCGGCGACACTAATCTCACCGTCCTAATGGCGAGGCAAGGCTGCAAGGCCTTCTCCGACCTAATTACGGCGGACGGCGCCGCCGACACATTCGCCCAAAGCGTCGAAGGCGGTCTAACAATCTTCTGCCCCTCCGACGAGGCGCTGGCCGCCTTCGCGCCGACGTACAAAAACCTAACCGCCGACGGAAAAACCTCGATCCTCCTCTACCACGGCGTCCCGATCTACTATTCCCTCGGGATGCTCAGATCTAGCAACGGATTGATGAACACGCTCGCCACGGAGGGGGCGAAGAAGTACGATTTCACCGTACAGAACGACGGCAACGAGGTCAAGCTGAAGACCAAAATCGTGACGGCGGCGATCAAGGGGACTCTGATCAATGAAGATCCGCTGGCGGTGTACAAAATCGACAAGGTTTTGCTGCCCAAGGAGCTCTTCAAGGCGGCGCCGCCGGCGCCGGCGCCTAAGCCTGCTAAATCGGCTAAAGCCAAGGCGGCGAAGGGCGATGACGATGCCGACAGTCCGGGACCCGCCGGAGATGATTCTGCGGCCGCCGATGAGGAGTCGAGTAACGACGGCGGAGGTAGATTTGCTGGGAGCGGAGGGTTTGTTACAGTGTGTTTCTGTTTGTTGTTTGGAATTTTGACCCTTTAATTATTTCTTTTATTTCTTTTTTTTTTTACCCTTTTTTATTTTTTTTTTATAATTATATTGTGGTGTGAATTTTGATTATTTTGAAGAAAATGATTTTTTTCTTATGTTGTTTTTATTTTGTATGAATATGAGATATGTTGTGCAAATTGGAATAAACTTATAAACAAATTATTTTTTGTTACATAATTTTGGAATAATTTTTTTGTTAATTTGTTATTGTTTAATAATTAATACTAGAAATGCAGTATAATTTATTTAAGTTTCACATAGTTGAATGTCCAAATTGAACTTATTTATATGAATAATCAACATGAAAGTATTTTTATATTATATGGTCACTTACAGTGAAGTAAGAAAATGTGGATTATGTTAGCTCGGGTTCGGCAGCAATTGTCCACGTGGGAAAATTCAGATATATGCAGCTCTCAATCGAATATCGTGGGCGTTTGTATATATTGACTTCGGTATAACTGAAAATTAAATCAAAAAAAAAATAATGAAGATCAAAATTGTGGGGTTTAATAAAGTTTTTGATTTTGTTTAAAAAAGAAAAAGAAAATACTAAAACAAAAAAAGTGGGGCCCGAAGGCACAGCCTGTAGTGATGAAGAGAGAAGCGTCGGTGGATGACTTGTGTTGGTCTTCACCAACTCCATCCATGAATCTATATTATATTCTTCTTAATTTAATATTTGATTTTAATATTATATAGACATTATTAAATGTTGGATTTTTTTAAATTTTTTTTAAGGATCTTAGTGTACTATTGCTGACTGGGTTCGTTTGGCTAAATTTATTTTAAAAATAGCTAATTTTTTTCGTTTAGGACAGACAATCAGGTCATGTGAACTGAGCTTGAGTCGGCTCAAACTTACATAACATCGAACCTCATTATTATAGACTGAAGCTCACATACTATTGAACATCATTAGTAAGAAGGCTCAAACATTTTATAAGCTCTTTTTAAAAACTTATAAGCTATTGAATAAATAAATAAATATGTGTTGCATCATAAGATATATCATTACAAAATTATAGTTAGTCAAACAAATGGATTGTAATTGAATTCCCTAATTATGTGGGACTCAAATCTCAAGTAGTTGAAAACCAAAATTTAATGAGAACAAGATAAGGGTATTTTGGGAAGAACAAGAAAGGCCCACCAAGAATTTTCAATTAAGATTTACAGCTGGTTTTGGTAAGTAGCATCAATCATGTTCGAACAGTCCATGTGAGAAAGGGTGAAAAAGGTAAATTCAACCTTTTTGCATGCAGCAAGTAAGGTATTTTTACATGTAGTAAGTAGTTGGAGTGTGAATAACTTGTGTCATGGTGCATTGCAAACAATATAAAACAACCATGAACCTTTTTTGAATAAATAAATAAACTTAAAGAGAATTCCTAGTATATATGTTCGTAAATCTCGTTTTTGTTTAATAGTCGCAAATCGCGCAAAAAATATAAATCGCATTCGAACAAGTTTTGTATGAAGAATTTTGACTGAAAAGGTATTGGCAGCGGAAAACGAGTCTAAGTCTGTCATTTTTTTTTTCTGATATTGATGTCGTGTCATTCATTTTGGGTTAAATCGAACGGGAGATTGGATGGGAACGCGTGAGGTAAGTCTCTGCACGCGGGTAGATGATCCGATCAAGTAGGACGAATACTTGAGTCACAAACCTGCAAAACTAAAGCAACGCTCAAGCCAGATGCTTGAAAAGGGTAGGGGGTAGGGAACAAGAATTGGATGAAACTCAAGACATTTGTTGTAACGAACCTTTGACAATGAGCCTAAAGTCTGATTTATATTAATTAGTGGTAGAATCTCAATTAAAGTATAAATAACTTAATGAACTTATGAGCTCAAACTAATGTATTTTGGGCCCATTGGGGTGGCCCGATAGGATATATCACATATTAAAAAAATATTTGTCTAAGGTAACATGAACACTTTCAAAAGCACAATTTTTCATTTTGCACATGATCTTATGGGTGTAAGAATACAAAACTCAACAAAAGCTTGAGCTCGAACTTTCTAACAAGCTCGAGTTCAAACCGATTTTTAATCATTCATTAGTTTACGAGCCGGCTCGCGGGCTTTTAAAATTTAGAATTTAAAATTTTAAATATGGTAATGGTATAATGCTGGGTATATATAAAAATCTAAAGAAACATTTTATTTATTATTTATCATGGTTATTACCATTGTTATTATCAATATCAATATTAATATTATTATGATGGTTATTAACATTGTTATTATTATTATCATTATTAGTATTATTATTAGAATTTGAATGCATATTAGTCTTGGCGTATTAGCATTAACATTAGTATTAGTATTAGTATTAGTATTAGTATTAGTATTAGTATTAGTATTAGTATTAGTATTAGTATTAGTATTAGTATTAGCGTTCGTATTAATATTGGCGTATTAGTTTTAACATTAAATATTCGTATTAGAATTGACGTATTATTATTAATATTAGTCTTGATATTAATATTAGTATTAGACTATTAGTATTAATCATCGTATTAATATTGAGATTAGTATTATCAATGTTGGTTTTAGTATTAGTAGCAATAGTAGTTGTTGTTAGTGTAATATTAGTGTTAATATTAAGGTGGCATAAACAATTGTACACCGCAATGTCCAGAGTCAAAAGTAGATTTGAGATAAAGATATTTATCAACTCAGAATCGCGCGATATAACTAAAATTACGAGCAATGTTGTGTGCACAAAAGATTTTCAGCGAATATGAAGGTAAATCACAAACAAATGTATATTTTGATTCAATTAGACATTTTTTTTGGTATTATTTACATGTATATCAACTGTTCAAAGTTTTCGTTCGTTTTATTTTATCCAAAAAAAATTTAAAAAAAAATTGATGCCGTGCATCGCACGGGTGAACTACTAGTATTTTTTATAAATAATTATAATATCAATATAAAAAAAAGGAGTTGTTTAAACTCGAGCTTGACAAATTCAACTCAATCTCAAATTCAAGAATTGAAAGCTCAAAGTATGAATTTAACATGTTATGCTATTAAATTTTTTATTTTTTTTATAAGTGGGCTTCTATTTCGGGCCTTCAGATAACGGCCCAACATACAAAGTAATTAGTGGGCACATTAAGATGGCCTTATTAAGTATAGGGTAAATTACAATCACCAAAATTTATTTACCAAAATTTCCCTCATTTTTTTTTCATGATTACATTGACCCCTTGTAATTCGTAGATTTCTTACATTAACATCCTTTATAGGGGTAGATGTAAGAAATTTTATAAACTACAGAAGGTTGGATGTAATTTCTAAAAAATAAAGGTTTTTTTTGTAATTATACCTTTCTTCAGGGAAGTAGTTATAATTTACCCTTAGCATAACACATGTAGGTATTTTGCTCAAAATAAGAAGAAATATATGTTCTAAAATTCAAATATTATTTTCTAAAATGATACCCCTTTTTTCATAAACCATCATTCACAAATTTTAATATAACCTAAGTTTTGTAATTACTAAAACTTAGGTTTTTTCTTTTCTCGTAATTTGACATTAACTCAGAGGGGCTGCCGTAGTAATTTACCTAAGCTTATTGGACCAAATCCAAAGGCAAGGTAATCTTGCTCCTCACTCCTTCCTTTTTTTCCTATGAATATATATATCCCAAAAACACAGTAAAATTTTATCCTTTAGCATACAATCTAAACAAATACAAATACCCATTTCCTGAATCGGATCCACAACCGCTCCGCCATTGCTAGGTTTGGGATCGACCTCTCTTCATTGCGATTCCTTTAATTAATCGGTGCTCTATTTAATTTCATTTGGGTTATTACAAATTCCTAGTTTGATTTTGCTTACTGTTCGAATATTTATCTAGAAATCAAGCGTTTTATTTTGAATCAGAAACGAAGTCCAGTATTAGGTTTCCGATGAACCCCTTGGGCCTTTTGGATTTTCGATTTTCAGTTTCTGTTTTAAGTTGAATTGATATATATGTATATATATGTATATGTATTGTTTTCAGTCTGATTGGTTTTGCCTTTTTGTTTAATCATGGTTGTTGCATGTAAAGTTATGGACTGATTATGAATATTAGATGTTAATTTATTCCCTGGCAATTGGTTTTACTTTGTTTGATGTGGTAAGTTTGCTAGGTTAGTATGGTTAATTTTTGGATGATAGCTATGTTTGTGTTTATGCTACTTTCTCTTTGCCTCGAAATAACGGGCATTTAGCTGTTAATGCAGGATCTCGGGCGATTATGCTTCTTGTTAAAAATCTTTACAGTTAGTCGCTATAGTATATGAAAAAGCATTACAGTTAGTCGTGAGAACATTGTTGTCTCGTTATATTTCATCAACGGAATCTCGAGGGCAGATTACAATTTCCCCGTTATATTTTCGGGTGACCTTTCCGTTCAATCTTTGGATACAGTTTTAACTGATGTCAGTATATTAAAAATTAGCAGATGCATTAGATAAGTTGGACATAAGTTTGAAGAGGGGGAACTCGTAATGCTAAAATCAATTTGGTTTAAAACCGTACGTTTATACTTTATTCGTTTTTTTATTTCTGGGTCAAACCTGCTGGGTTCTTGTAATTGAGCCATAGAAAATCTTTCGTGTAGCAGTAGAGATTCTCATTTAATGTAATAGTAGCATAGTGTTTTAGGTGAACTTACTGGTTTATTTTCTGTGTCTCTTACTCCAAATATATATTCTACTTTATGCTCCCTGCATTAGTAACACCCGTTTTTCCCTTTACAGAATATACGATACGGGATTGATCAAATATTTGCCAGAGAAAGATCCTGGCTCTTTACGCTTTTAATATATGGGCTGAAGTGCACTTTTCATGGGAGGTATAGAGGATGATGAACCACTGTCAAAACGTGTGAAAGTTTTGTCAGGAGAATCGGTAGGTCTTTCCAACGGTTTATCTCTTAACGAGGGTAGTTTCTCATTGAGGGACTCAATGGCTCGGCTGTTATCATCTCAAGGGGATAATGAGGCCATTGGTTCAAAAGGTGTCATAAAGAAAGTTGAACTTGTTCGAATTATAACCGAGGCATTGTATTCTCTTGGCAATTCCGAGACAGGGGCTCGCCTAGAGGAGGAGTCGGGAATTCCGTTGCACACCCCTGTAGTAGATATGTTTATGCGTCAGACTCTAGAAGGTCAATGGGATAAAAGTGTTTCAATGTTACATAAAATTGGTCTAGATGAAACAATGATTAAGTCGGCATCTTTTATAATACTGGAGCAGAAATTCCTTGAACTTTTGGAGGGAGAAAAAGTCATGGATGCTTTGAAGACTCTGAGGACCGAGATTATTCCTCTTTCGATAAATGACGAGAGAGTTCGAGTTCTGTCTTCATATATTATATCTCCCTCGAAGAATTTATTTGATGTATCTCACGGTAAAGAGTCGATATTCAGGTCTCGTAAAAAGTTGCTGGAGGAATTGCAAAAGTTGCTTCCTCCAACTGTGATGATTCCAGAAGAAAGGTTGGTGCATCTTGTTGAACAGGCGGTTCTCTTGCAAAAGGATGCCTGTAAGTTTCACAATTCCTCGGTTGGAAAATTGTCACTGCTCGCCGATCACAAGTGTGGAGGAGGTGATATTCCTTCTCATACGTTGCAGGTAATGCTACTTTTTTGTTGTTTGCAGTTATTGGAGAGAAACTTCTGCTATCGGTAACAACATAGTGGTAAAAACAACATGGTCTTTCGATATACTTTTGAGTTCTGATACATATAAATGTGATCTTTTATTTCCATTTTCTTCTTTAAGTTTAGTCAGGATTTCTACTACGAACATTTATGACATCTTCTGTTGGTTTTTGAACCCGACAGATACTTGAAGAACACAATGATGAAGTCTGGTTCTTGCAATTTTCACACAATGGGAAATACTTGGCATCATCATCTGGTGATTGCCTTGTGATTATATGGGAGGTAATACTGCCTTTCTTTCATATTATTTATTAATTGGTTTAAGTTTCATTTAGTGTCCAAGGATTAATCATTTTATGTACAGCTGTCAACCTCTGAATACCAATATATCTTTGGTCGTTCGATTCAATTTTTGATACTATCATTTTTAACTATTTCACGTTGAACTAGTTTCCACAACACATTGCAAATATTCGACTGGTCGTTTTGTTATGATGTGTCAGGTGTCTGTTCAAGCTAGATAAATTCCTCTTATCTCTGTAGTCCTTTTTTCTTTCTTTGAGATTGGCTCCCTCTAAATTACAGTCATTTTCTTTGGAACTCGCTGGTAAATCCTTTTAGAAGTCAAGCTCCATGCTCCCTGTAATGTTCGTTTCTCAAGAACATACTGAAACGCAAAGCACGGATAGGCTTTGTTAGGCTTGTATATTTTCTAATGGTCTTGTTTCTTTAGTGATATTCTTTAGTTCAGATTTGATATTGAGTTCAATAGCAATTTGTTTTCTCTTGGAGGCATGAATTGTGAACATAAGTTTTAACCTTAAATATCTTCTGGAACTAAACAAGAGCATGTCCATCACTGGATGCATCTACCTCAACTTCGAATCCTGCGAATTATAGTTCAACCATCTAAAATTTAACTTGAATTCTTGATATTATAAAATAATATTTCCGGGCCGAGCCGGAAAACTATTGGGTTTGTCAAACATCAAACAAAGTCCAATTATTTCACTAATCATGGCTAATCTCCCCAACAGAACGGGGCCTTGGAGTTTAATCTAGTTCGAGTCGCACAAACTTTCTTTGTAGTCCTGTTCTGGTTAGAAAAAGAACAAGCTAAAGGATAAAAGAACTCAAAATTTGTAGAAAACATACTTTAAGGTATGTTGTGTATGGAAGTAAATATGTCAAAGTCTTGGAACGATTGCTCAAACTTATGCTATATTGCCCCGCTACTTTGTTTGATCATAGGTATGCTATTGCCATGATTTTTTGTCTTTGATTGTGTCAGTGATGGTCGTTTTGCTTTTCTTAGGTCATGGCTGATGGCCAAGTTTCTTTAAAACATAAATTATCCGGTCACCAAAAACCCGTCTCCTATATTTCATGGAGCCCCGATAACGATCAACTTCTAACATGTGGAGTAGAGGAGGCAATTAAACGATGGGATATTGCCTCCGGTGAATGCTTACATACATACGAAAAAAGAGGTCTCGGTCTTGTCTCTTGCACGTGGGCCCCGGATGGTAAGAGCATATTCTCTGGCGTTTCCGATAAAAGCATCAGCATGTGGGATCTCGAAGGTAAAGAGTTAAAATGTTGGAGAGGGCAGAAAACTACTATGATTGCAGATATAGGTATGACTGCAGATGGGAAAGAGCTTGTAACAGTTTGTAAAGAAACCGTCATACTGTTGTTTGGATGGGAAACGGAATCCGAGAAAACTATTGTGGAGGATCATCCGATAATTTCGTTTGCGCTTTCGGAAGACAAGAAGTTTTTGCTCGTTAGCTTATTGAATGGAGAACTTCACGTTTGGAACATAGATGGCTGCACTAGGCTGGTAGCTAAGTACAAAGGTCACAAACGCACTCGGTTTGTTGTGAGGTCTTGTTTTGGTGGATTGGAGCAAGCGTTTATCGCCAGTGGAAGTGAAGACTCACAGGTAATATAAAGTATTTTCCTTGTAAACCAAACGGAGCCTTAGTTTTCGGTTTTCATTTGTTAATGATTTTTCGACGATATTTGTTGTAGGTTTATATATGGCACAGGCTATCGAAGGAGCTGATATTGACTCTAGCCGGACATACTGCAGCTGTGAACTGCGTTAGCTGGAATCCCGCGAATCCGTATATGCTGGCTTCTGCAAGTGACGACCGTACGATACGTATTTGGGGATTAAATCAGGTAAATATGAACGGCAGTCGGGGGCAGAATAGTCATAACAATAATAATAATAATAATGGTGTCAACTACTGCAATGGGGGAGGAGGGACTTGAAGCTGGAAGGAAAATGCTCAATTCTTTTTAGCCTTTTGCTTTTATGTAAATTCTTTTTAACTTTTATTATGGTAATAATCCAACATTTGTTTGGAGCTCTAGGATTATGGATTTTAATTCACTTTGATGATATTATTCTCTACTTTCTTTTTTTCTTTAATATATTAGTATTTTCGGTTTTTTTTTTCTTTATTTGTCGAATTTTTATTTGTTGTTTAATTAGTTGAATATATATTTGTGAAATGGAGGAAAAAAGAAGAAGATAAATAACGATTCTCACATAAATTCCCTACTAAAACATGGTACGAATTAGAGAATTATGCACGGCGAGTTAGATGCTACATCTGATTATTTACAACAGTGAATTTGAATCGTAGATTTAATTACAGAAGTACCCATTAAGCAAATATATATATGAACGTGTGTGATTATTTTGAATCCACTTATAAAAATAATCAGGCGTAATATTTAATTTCATATTAGCCAAATAACTAGTATCGAATTATCGATTAAAAAATTATACACGATTTGATTATCACTTATGTAAATAGTAAGGCGTAACATTTAATTTCCCACTAGTCAAATAACTAGTATCAATCAAAAAATTAGACACAATTTGATTATCAAAATATACTAATTTAAAAAAAAACAACAACAAATAGTATTAGTATGAAATTTTGTAATTCTCACCTTTCATTTTTCTTATAATAATATGGGGTTCCTTCGACCCTACACTCGGTGAAAAAATATCGGGTGGGTCTTCTGCTGCCACGTGTTTTGTTTTTCTAAAACTCCTAAAGGTAAATCCTAGCGGGAAATATATTATAAAATACAAAAAAGAGACACGTGGATTTATCACCAGGTGTAAGGTCGAACAAATCATAAAATGGATATACATATAATAATTAGTATTAAAATTACCAATTTGAATTTAATTTATAGATATAAAATAGAAAAAGAAAAAAAAAAAAAAAAAACGAACCCCTAATTTTGAGAAGAAAAGAAAACCGCCGTATATTATTAGTGAGAGAAATAATTGAAAGGAAAAACCCAAACCAAGCCCTCTCTCTCTCTCTCTCTCTCTCTCTCTCTTCTTTCTCTCTCTAAAATTCAGGTTTTCCCTGTCTCCATCGCTTTGCAGCCCTCTGCTCTAAAAACTCTGCTACGAATTGGGGGAAAAAAAAACCCTATCAGAAATCAGAGAGAAGAGCGTCGAACTTTCAGTTCGAACACCGACTCACAAAACTGGAGGAAAGCAAAAAAAGTAAAAAGAGAAAAAGAATGGCTCCAGGTAAAGGAAAAGGAAAATACGGCGGCAAAAAGAAGCAGAAGAATGAGGGAAACAACTCAGAGGCGAAGCAGAAGAATGGCGGAAAAACTCGACAAGAGAGAAAAAGTAATTCTGAAGCCACTCGCATTCGAGTTTCTCAGATTCTCGAGCAATTTCGAAATTCCAAGGACGAGGGTTAGTGAAAATTCCGATTGCAAAAAAATTAAATTAGGGTTTGTGCTGTATGTTGTATTTAGCTAAACAATAGTATACTCAAATATGACATCGGGAATTTAAAAAATTGCTTTTTTTTTTTTTTTTTTTTTTAACTTTATTGAGATATCTCGGCACTTCACTGTTATTCTGTATAAACAAAGATTTGACCTGCAAATTTCTGTGTGCAGTGCACACATTTGAAAGTTTTCTGCCAAGGGATGAGCGAGCTATTGTGCACATGCTAAGCAGTAAAATGGGCATGAAGTCGAAAAGTTCTGGGTAAGTTTTGAATCGGAAGTTAACTATGTAATTCGGTTATTACGAGGCGATTTTATAAATTTTCTAATTACCGGCGCTTTTTTTGTAGGGTGGGACAAAAGCGACGAATTTCTGTAACCAAGATAAAAAGTGCAGTAGAACCTGTAAAAGGGAAGGAAAACCTCGTTTCTTTTAAATTTTCGGAAGACTCGAAGGCTGTATTACAGGATTTATTTTCTCGATACCCGCCCGATGAAGTGGAAATGGCGGAGAAGAAAGTCGAAGAAAGTAGTGGACGATCTAGTGCGGTATTAGCAATAGGAGATGATATGTTCTGCAAACCTGTAATGACCGAGTCTGAAATTGCAAGCAAGGTGGAATCACTTGCTTCAAAAATGGAGAAGGGTCAATTGATCAAGGTCCGAACTTTTTTTTTTTTTTAATTTTTGTTTGCTACTTACATTTACGATGTGGAACTGTGATAGTTATGCAAGTAATCGTGGTCCCGTACTGCAGATAGCAGAGACTAGGTCGAGGCTTCCAATTGCATCTTTCAAGGATAATATTACTTCTACAATAGAATCTAATCAGGTAGTTCTTGTTTAAATTCAATTATATGCACATTTTGATATTCACGTATAGCTCACCATTTTTTGTATCTAATTTGCAATTTGTACCTTGTATCAGTTGACTCTTACTGATTATTGCTTATTTGTCTCGCCAAAATAGGTTGTGCTCGTATGCGGTGAAACCGGCTGTGGGAAAACGACACAGGTGTTTATTTCTGCACCCTTCGTCTGTTCTGTTCTGTTAGCTATATTTGTGTACTATTTGAACCGAAGGGTAAAAATGTATTTTGAGATCATATAAGAATATTCATAGTAACTGTATCATGTTATTTGCTCTTAGAATGAAAACTTGAAACGTCTTCGTACACACTCCTCGTTTATCTTCTGATTTCTGCAATGTTAAGCTTATTTTTTCCTGATCCCCTCCGAATAATTCTGAATAGTGTTTAAATTTTTTTTCGGTCTGAAATAAATCTCTTAATATTTTGGTTTGATTGTATTTCTTTAATTAATGTATATATAATTTATATCATCATACACGTAATTCAGGTCCCACAATTTATTCTGGATCATGCATGGAGTAAAGGACAGCTATGTAAAATAGTTTGTACTCAGCCTAGGCGAATCTCTGCCACATCAGGTACTAAATCTGGCTACGTTTTGATTATGTATATTATATTGATTTTATCGTGTTTATTTATCTTCAAATGTGAGTAAATGCCTATACTCCATGTCTCAAGTGCAGTGGCTGAAAGAATTGCTTCAGAAAGAGCTGAATATATAGGCGATTCTGTTGGATACAAGGTACTGCATGATCCAATAATTAGCGTTATGGCTAGTTATGATTTTTTCATCGTTTTCCTAATAAAAAAATCCATCTAAAGTTTGTAGTTCTAAAATTACATGTCAGCATTTCTATACTTTTCTAGGCCTTATGATTTTGCATCAATATTATTGTTAATGGTTATTAGTACTACATTGTTTTGAATGATTCACCGTTTATGTGAAGTACTTTCGTTTATTTTGTGAATATTAGCTATGCACATTAAACTTAATATCACGACGATTTATTTACTGAAAAATGCTAGATTCGGCTGGAGACCAAAGGTGGGAGGAATTCGTCTCTCGTGTTCTGCACGAATGGGGTTCTGTTGAGGCTTCTAGTTGAGAAAGGAAGTACCAAAAAGAAGACAAAATCTTCCAAAAAAAAGAAGCCAAATGCCCTCTCGGAGATAACTCACATAGTTGTGGTATGGCTGTCTTTTTTCACATACATTTATTGACAAAAAAAAGTTTCAGTTAGTATTTTATCATCCGGAGATTTTGTTTTGTTACTGTCCTGTTAGAGGGGAAATAAACTATATGTATATATTTTTTTTTAATTCTGATTGACTCTCTTTCACATTCTTCTTCGTCGCCTCAGAACAAATTTCTAGTTTTTGCATTCCCTATGTTGGCTATGGGATGAGAGTTCTTGGTTGCTTTCAGTTATGACAAAACGATATAATATATTTTTTCATGATTATTCCTTTCTCCTAATCCAATTGCGACCGTTAGTGTATTTTGAATCCCACATTTTCTTGTTACTTTCTTAATGGTCTGTGCCTGACAAACTTGTTTTCACTTTAGGATGAAATTCACGAAAGGGACCGCTTCTCTGATTTCATGCTGGCAATACTCAGGTGCCTTTTCTATGACAACATTTTCTGAAAGTACATACATCTGATTTTTTTATTACACATCACGCCTTTTTAATTTTTTTAGTATATTTATTTATATAATGTGCAAATTCATGCAATTTTTGCATTTTTAAATTATGGCTAAAATTTCTGCTGAATTCGTTGGTGTTTTTTCTTCAGAGACATGCTTCCGTCTTATCCCTCTGTGCGTCTGGTTAGTATAATTATAATCCTTACCTTTTTTTTTTTTTTAAAATGTACATTTTCCGAAGATTTCGAATGTTTTCTTGATACAGCAAATTTGATGGTAGTTGATTTTGACCAGGTATTAATGAGTGCCACAATCGATGCAGATAGATTTTCAAATTACTTTGGTGGCTGCCCTGTTATTCAAGTACCAGGCTTTACCTATCCCGTAGGTTTCTTCGCTCCCGGTTTATGTGTTTTTTAATATCTCTCTTTGTAAGTTTAGTATATCATTTCAAGAAATTTGTATTTTCTTTTTCCAGGTAAAATCATTCTACCTGGAAGATGTACTATCAATATTGAGATTAGACATAAAAAAAAATGAAAGTGCGAAGCAAACTAAAACTAATGCCATCAAAACCTCTTCCTTAATCGAGGAATGTAGAGTTGCTCTCGACGAAGCTATCGACTTGGCTTTATCAAATGACGAATTTGACCCTCTCGTCGAGTTAATATCTCAAACAGAGGACCGAAAGGCCTTTAATTACCAGCATTCGAAAACCGGAATAACACCACTAATGGTATTTGCCCGAAAAGGAAGAGTCAGTGATATTTGCATGCTTCTCTCTCTCGGTGTAGACTGTAATTTACGATGCAACGAAGGAAAAACCGCTTACACATACGCTGCACAAGCGAATCAAATAGAAGCTGCCGATATTATCAATAAGCATGATGAGAAGGAATTTACATTCTCCGAGGAGGATCATAAATTAATCGATGAATACTTATCGAAAGTCGACCCTGAACTAGTCGATATTGTGCTTATCGAACAGCTACTGAGGAAAATATGTGACGACTCCATGGATGGAGCTATTCTTGTTTTCCTTCCTGGCTGGGATGATATAAATAAAACGAAAGATAGATTATTAGCTAGCCCTTTCTTTAACAATTCGTCTAAATTCGCTGTCTTTGCCCTTCATTCTATGGTTCCATCAGTGGAGCAAAAGAAAGTATTCAAACGCCCAGCTATTGGATGCCGCAAGATTATTCTTTCCACTAACATTGCAGAGACTTCTATTACTATTGATGATGTTGTGTACGTTATAGACAGTGGGCGGATGAAGGAAAAGAATTACGACCCTTATAACAACGTGTCCACTCTTCAGTCTTCTTGGATTTCGAAAGCAAGTATGAAGCAAAGAGAGGGTCGTGCGGGAAGGTGCCAACCGGGTATTTGTTATCATCTTTATACGAAACTCCGGGCAGATTCACTGCCCGATTTTCAAGTTCCCGAGATTAAGAGAATGCCGATTGAAGAACTATGCCTGCAGGTATTTCGTCATCATCTTCTCTCTCCCCCCCCCCCCCCAA